TAATAGAGCAAGACACCTGCTCCACGTGCATGCAGGTACATGTGCATATACCATCCACCAAAAAAAAAAAAAAAAAAAAAAAAAAAAAAAAAAAAAAAAAAAGCAATGGGAATTCCAGGAAAAGCAATAGCACAAAGGAGATGAGCACTATGATAGGAAAAACACAGAGTGCAAGGGAGCCCCCACCTGGCCTGCAGAGGTCAGTGAGAGAGCAGTGACAAGGTTAGATGGGGTTACAAGGTGACAAGGACATCAGTCAATAAAAACAAGGAGTGCAAGAAAGGGAAAGTGCAAACATAAATAAATCTTAAAGATTAAAATAAATAAAATTCTAAAATGTCCATAGTACACAATAGTACACATACATACATACACACACACAGGTAAAATACTCAAGTACATAAAAAATAAATGAAAAAAAATTTAAATGCACTAGACAAGAGACCATGAATTTCTAAACTCTTAGATTGGCTGGAATACAGGGCAAAACTTATTGTTAGTGTGAAGGACCTCCTTTCTGTCCTTCACTTCAGAAACAGCTCCCGTAGTAAAAGCAAAGCTCATATTCTCCAATCTGAATATTGATAGTGTTTTACACTCTTTTCTGTTGTCTCCAAAGTGTACTGTTTTAACACTTGGTAATGGTTTCTTCCTGGGCTGCTTAAGATTTCAGATGTGGTATGTGTGGTAGCCGGGGTGGGGAGGTTTCCTAACAAAATTCCTTTTATTTGTATTGAATTTAATCCTGCCTATGGCAGAAGAGTAGCCCCAGATCTCTATGTTTAAAAGACCAACTACAGGCCTGACTCTTCTGAAGTTCTACTCATCCCCATCACTTCCACTCAGGCCCAAATCCAGGATCCAATGGATAGACAGTCTCCCAGAAAATGGGAGCCTGAATAGCATACCTGATATTCCCCTTAATAATAGTAGATAAGAAACATTGGCAGTATATATGAAGTTGCTACTAGGTGTTGATCTGTCAGAGTAGTTAATTATCAAAAAAAAAAAATCAGGGTTTGATATTTGGGACTATGTAGAATTTTTCAGTCTCTCTCACACTGCATCATTGTATGCATTATCTTTAATCAGGATATTTTAACCTTCTGCAGAATTTATATGAAATGTAAATAGTTTTGTATTGCTTCTGAGCACATAAAATAACATTTGGCTCAGATATTCCTATAGACCAGTTTAGCCATTCAAATGCTCTTTTCTACCACAGATAGGTTTTTTATGTCTAATATGAATGTGCATATACACAGTTATTTCCATTGTTGCCACAGAAAGATTGCATGTTGAAGCTTCCAAAGAGCAAGGCACTAAGGTGTTTTGAGACTCACTCTCTACAGTTTAAGAACCACTGGTTTAAAGGGAACTAATATTCATCTAAAATTAAATATGCACTTTTCAGGAACAAGGCAACGTTGTTTTTAAAATGCTGAAGCTTACTGGGTGGTGGTAGTGCACAGCTTTAATTCTAGCACTCAGAAGACAGAGGCAAGAGAATCTCTGTGAGTTCAAGGCCAGCCTTGTCTACGGACTAAGTTCCAGGACAGCCAAGGCTACACAGAGAAACCCTGTTGTGAAAAACAAACAAAAAATGCTGAAGCTTAATTAACATTGTTTATCATTTTAGAAAATAATCTTCCTGTCTCTTGAAATGGATATGAGTGAAGGCAGATTATATACAACTTTTACCTCTCGGTTGTTTTCTCCAGAAGTTGCTAAATTAGTTCAAACCTAGAAAAATAAATAATCCTCCCAATAAATCTATGAGTTGGTTGGATTTTTTTTTCTCGTCAGCTTAACACAAGTCAGAGTTATCTAGGAAAGAGAACCTCAACTGAGAAAATGCCTCTATCAGATTTCCTTTACACAAGCCTATGTGGTATTTTCTTGATTCATGATTAATATGGAAGAGCCCAGTCCACTGGGGACAGTCCGTGGGCAGGTCAGTCCCTGAATTTTATAAGAAATTAGACTTGTGAAATATTTCTTTACACTGTGTGACTATATGTCACTATGATTGTTTTAAAAAAGAAGCTCACTGGTCAATAGCTGGACAAGTTAATTTTAGGAAGAGCCAAACTAAGAATGCTGGGAAGAAGAAGGACAGAGTCAGGAGTGACAAGTAGATACAGGGAAAAGCAAGTTGGGCATGCTGTACTGAGAAAAGGTACCAAGCCACATGGCAAAGACTAGATAAAAATATGGATTAATTGAAATTGTAAAGCCTGAGCTAATGGCTGAGCATTTACAATTGATATTGAGTCTCTGTATCAGTTATTTGGAAGCTGGTGGGTAGAAAAGAAACTTCCACCTACAAGGATGGCCTCTCCTTCATTTCCTGCCTCCTAATTCCTGCCTTGAGTTCCTGCCTTGGTCTCCCTGGGTTGTCTGTGACTAGTGATATATAGGCCATATAAACCCTTTCCTCCCCAAGCTGTTCTTGGTCCTGGTCTTTATCACAGCAATAGAAAAGAAAACTAAGACAACCTATACTGTAGTTTCTTGCTAGTTTTTTGTTTTTAGCTTATGGAATCCTTGACAGTAGACACTTGCTCATTTAGTAAAGGAGGAAATTAGTTGAATTTAATAACTTTTCTTCCCCTCAAATATATGTTAAGCTAATAGTAATGACTTCAGGTGAATTACTTCCAGCTTTTTGTAGGAAGTTGGTTTTGTTGTTGTAGTAGTTTTGTAACATCACCAAATTACTTAGTTTTAGATTAGGAACAATGTCCAACCACTAAGGCTCACTTCATGTAAAAAAACAATTGGAGTTCCCAAGTAATATTCCAATTTACCTTCAAAGGTCTTGTGAACTTGCATGTATGGTCTTGTGACCAGTCTTGACTACTGAGAATCTTAAAACTCACACAACTCTGGTAAGTGGAACTCCACAGAGTTCATCCTGAAAATATATGAAAGCTGAGCAGACACGAATAATGCATACATTCTTTCAAGTAAGTGTTTAAAGTCTAGAAATGTTTATATTGTATGAAATGAGAGATGCTTGGAGTCATCTTAGCATAGAACTTCATAAGATTGAACAAACACATGACTTATCTGATCTTTGTCTTATTTCTTGTCCAATAGCCAACCAAACACACATTTTCTCTATTGTTTGTCCATTTAACTATCTATATTGTGCACTGAGAAAAGCACAATTGGGTAATAGAAAGAGTCCCAAGAGGAACCCATTTTCCTCACTGAAAACCAAAGGATAATAATATTCATCATTAGCAAGGCTTGCTGTGCTGGTAGAATTTGAAGGGGTGGATGCTGTTCCATTGTTGTTGTTTTGCTTTGTTTTGTTTTGTCTTTAAAATTGAAGCGTTTGATTCTGTGAAGCATTGTTTAAGCAGGTTTAAGTAGGTCTAAAATAGTATGTGATTAAGTGAAATATAATCACAATAACCTAGAAGTTTTCTGTTTCCATTGCATTGTGATTAGTGGTACATAGATCTGTAGATACCAGAGTATGGAGTGGATGCTAACCTGATGAGGAGGAAAGTGCTGGGCAGTTGGTGTCCCTTTAAGTCCCTTTATATACGGATAGAGAAAGGAAAGAAGTACCCCCACCTTATCTGCTTAAGATCTGTTTCTCAGGAAATTTTACTTTGTCTTGCATAAATTTCAGTAGCAACCTATGCATTTCAACTATATTGCATGCAACAAAACTAAATAAACTGGAAAACAAACTAAACTAAAAATAAAAGAAACCCAAATTGGAAAATCAAAGTGTTTGCTTTTAGAGATAGACACACCACCCAAAGGAGTCACATTTTAGGGTCTCCAGTCACTACTCATCCCACTCTATCAGGCACTTGATCTTCTAGAGCAACAGATCAGTGATGGAGAGAGGAGACAGCATTAGAGTTCCAGGATCCATTCAGAGCAGGGGCTTTGGCACACAGCGACCCCCTCCTCACTCCTGGCCAATGCAGGCGCGCACTTGCAAGGCACTGCATCTTCGCAACAGCTTGAGGAGCTGTAGGTTAAAGATCTAGGCTTTTAATGCTTGAGTTCTCCCTTTCTGATGTTGTACTAAGAACACCTTTCCCAATGTGATCGCTGACTTGGAGGACATCCAGCTCCTGCCCAGAAAGCACCAATGAAATGGGAAACTGCAGTTAGTAATACTTATCACAAGAAAAAAAAATCAAGCAAGTAAATTGCTGTGCCTGCAAATGTGCCTGGCTATATCCAAAAGATCAAACTTTCTTAAAGATGCACCTTGAGTGGCAAGAGCTCTGGAGCCGACCCGTAGTCCAGCAGTGTCCCTACTCCAAGGACCTCGCAGGCTGCTGGGGTCCCTCCGAGTACAAGGCGTTCCCATCTTCTTCTTCAGACCCTGAAACCTGCCTATATCAGGCAGATCTCTAGGAAAAGTCCAGACTCTGGATGACACGCAATGTCGAGGCAATCAAGCAGCTCCATTTAAATAGCCCAGGATCTACATTTAGACAAAAACAGATCCCAGTTCCCGGTAAAGGCATTTCTGCTCATCCTGTCACTTGTGACAGGAACGGAGGGAAACAGACTGCGGGAGAGGGAGACAGGAGAGGCAGAGGAAGGACGAGAGAGGGGGAGACCAGACGCTGGTGGAGACGTGAGGGAGGGGCGGAGACTGAAGACTGGGCCCAGAGGGGACGGGGGAGGGGATGAGAGAGCGAGAGGCGGAGGGGCCTGACGAATATCCGCGCCCCGGAGCAGTGTTCGGAGGTTCTAATTAAAGCAGCGCTCGGAACCCGGGGGACCCGCCTGACGTCGGCGGCCGCAGGGATAAGAAGCGCCCGAGGACAGCGGGACTTGGAGCAGCAGGGTCGGCGCTGCCCCCGTAGGAGCCGTGCGCCCTGTGTCCCTGCGCTGGATAAGTGGAGCTGGAGCTCATAAGTAGTGTCCGGACTGGGGAACGGAGAAGCGCGGCAGGCGCAGAACCTACTGTGTGGGCTCAGGTGCCCGAGGGCAACGTGGGATCCACAGTGTGGTTGCAGGTGCCTGAGGGCAGTGCGGGACCCACAGCTGGCAGGTGTCCTGGCCCCTCAAGTCCAGGGTGGCCCATCTTCTTCGCAGCTCCAGACCTAAGGCCGAGCTACACCTGTGGCCTCCTATCTCCGAGAAGTGTCCAAGACCCCGCGCGCCGTTTCCCGCGGTGAAAGAAAGTTGTGCGGCGCGATCTCTGCGCGGACTCCGCGTGCGGGAAACTTGGACTCTGGCTGGTGGGTCGGCGGGTCCCAAGACCCGCGACACAGGCCACCGGGGCAATGCGCGTGTCAGGGCGCCCGCTGCTCCTTGTGCTGCTGCTGCTGAGCATGGTGGGGGACCGGGGACGCGCGCAGCCCCGGGAGCCTGCAGACAGGCAGACGCTGCTGAGGTTGCTAGTTGAGCTGGTCCAGGAGCTGAAGAAATTCCACACGGGAGACAAGAGGCTACAGCTCCTTGGCGAGTTCGACTTTGCCCTGGGCCGCAGAGAGGCCACGGATTATGGGGCAGACCCAGAGGAGCAGAGAGTGGGTGAGTGTTCCTCAGTGTAGACATGAAGGACTTAGTGGGTGAGAGCTCAGCAGTGTAGACCATAATATGAAATAGAGTAAGGGAGAGTTCTGGCAGCATAGACTTGAAAGGCAGAAAATAATCAGTGAGTGGCCGGCCAGCAGGGTAGACCTTTGAGGATAGAGTGTGGAAGAGGGAGCCCTAGCAGTCAGTATAAGTCTGAGGAACAGAGTAAGTGAGTGCCCAGCAGCTTAGACCACAAAGCACAGAAAGTTAATGAGATTGAGCTGTGGACCAGTGGGGTGGAGAGTGAATGAGGATCCGGGCAGTGTGGACTATGAACAGTAAGTGAGAATCTTAGTGTAGACCTGAGAGGCAGAGGGTAAGTGCTGAGTGACAGTTCCAATCTACTTGGTAGAGAGTGGGTGATTGATTGTTCAACAATGTGGACCATGGGGAAGGGAGTGGGTGAGGTCCAGGCAATGTAGACCTGATAGAGAATGAGTGAAAGTGAGTCTTGGCAATATGAACCCGAGAAACCAAGGCATACCTGAATGCCCATCAGTGCAAACCGGAAGGAAAAAGAATGAGTGAGATCCTGTCAGTGTGGCCCCTAAAAGAGAGTGCTAGCCACAGTGTGTCCTGAGGAGCAAAGAGTAAGTCTTGGCAGTGTGGATGACAGGCCTACCTATCTGAAAGACACATTATATTAGTATTTTCTTAAATAGAATTTTTTTTAGAAACACCGTTTTAAACATGAATCAATTTTTAAAATTCCAAATAAGGGGTTTTTTGTTTTGTTTTGTTTTTTGTTTTTCAAGAAAAAGAAACTGGCAGAAACAGGAGACTGTGTGTGAGCCTCTAAAATAACAATCTAACCCACTTCTAAGATATGCTTGTGCCCAGTTCAGAACACTCTGCTCTTTTCAGGGGAAGGTTCCCAGCCCACCATTTCCAGAAGAGGAAGAAATGGCCAGAGCTTCCCTGGTGGAGCCCTTCCCAGAGTGGCCCATGGGAATTTCTCAGGAAAGCATGCAAGCTTTTAATGCTTTCATGACAGAATTAGGTCAAATATGATAGGGTCACTTTTGTGTAAACTGACTCAAGTAAGAAGTACATGAAGAAAGGCTTCGGGGAGTAGTCTCTACCTCCCTCATGAAAGACTCAATGTCAGTGTCTCTCTTCAACTATCAGGAAAGAGGAAAATAGTATTTCTGGTAAAATACAATGTGACATTACACAATCATAGAGAAGTTTTTGGCCTCATGTGGGTCAGAAACTTAGAAAATGATTACAGAGACTGAAAATAAAGCAAAAACAATATCCAAACTCAGCAGGGGATAGAGGGGACAAACAACCTGGGACCCATCACTAGGGACCAGGTGTCAATGAAAAGCACAATTACAAGTTGATGTTTAAAATCCTTTCCTTGGGGACCCTACTTTGCCTTATAAATCAAGGTGATGTATGTTCCCATCTGTTCACACCCGCCTCAAAATATTACCTACAATGTATAGTGTTCAATAACACACTTTCTGTTTTGTTTAGAAGGTTCAGGTTTATTTCTAGAATTTTTAAATGCTGTGGAATTTGATTTCAAAGTTTTTTACAGTGTATACAAGTGATACATCCATTGGAACCTATCCAAAACCATTTTTTCCCCAAACCTGTAACTTAGGGCCTATAATTCTTATCATATCCAGAGAAAATAGACTGGTAATATTGGAGCTTTATGAGTAGTTAATGCTGCTTGAGAAAGATCATGCTGATCTAAGTGTCCACATTGTATTATGTGCAACTGCCAAGTGTTGTCCTATTCTATCCAGTGCATTGTAGTATGGATAATGCGATTCTCAAAAATTTCCTCCACATTCACTTAAGATCACACTTAATAGGTGCTTTGTTCAAGTAATATGATTTCTCACCCCTCATAGAGATTGTTCCTCGAGATCTAAGGATGAAGGACAAGTTTCTGAAACATCTCACAGGTGTGTGTTCCCTTCACTCCTCTGCCCTCCCTGCTCCTTTTTGCCCTGAGTCTTTGTGACTTTCTTCCTCTGTGTTCCAGGTCCTCTTTATTTCAGTCCGAAGTGCAGCAAGCACTTTCACAGACTTTACCACAACACGCGAGACTGCACCATCCCTGCATGTAAGTGAGCACCCAATAGGCAAATGGCGCTCCACTCTTCCTTTGCAGTGCAGCAGGCCTGCTTTTGACAGGTGTGGGGCCTGAGTGTCCCTACCTGGCTGGACTGGGGCAGGACATTGGAGCAGATGGCTTAAACTCTGTAACAACCAATTCCACTGGAAAGTATTTACCTCATGATAACCCATGGAATATAATCAGCTCTTGCAATGGGCTGAGCCCTTCCTTTCATTCACATTCTCATTTTGTTTATGAATTCTTTCACAAAGTCCATATTCTATTCTAGTGGACATGACACAGATTAGGTGTGAGATGCTCAGGTGTCTGCTGGTGGTCAGTGTTGGGGTATAAACAGTCTGGTTGGCCTGAAATTTTCCTGTAAAAAGTTTTTTTTACTACCTCCAATGCTCTGACCAGTGCTGTTTTCATTTGTAATAAAAGTCTCATCACTCATTGCCCAAGATTTTTTTTTGTTTTTGTTTTTTTGTTTGTTTGTTTGTTTTGTTTTCCAAGACAGGGTTTCTATGTATTGTTTTGGATCCTATCCTGGAACTTGCTCTGTAGATCAGGCTGGCCTTGAATTTACAGAGATCTACCTGCCTCTGCTACCTGAGTACTGGGATTAAATGCATACACCACCAATGCCCGGCCGCCCAAGTATTTTTTCTGTTCCAAATGCTGCTCTTCTGGCTGTTCCTCAGCCCAGAGACACAGGGATCATACACTGACCCATTTCTCATGTTCTTCATTTAAATTTCTTTTTTTTCAACATGCTTCATCTATGTATCTACTGCAGTATATTTCACTTCCCCATAATGACTCCTTGCTCTCTTCATAAAACCATTTTTTAAAATGAGATGCTGACTTTCACAGGTAAAAGCCTTGCAGACATACCAGGATCTGACTGGCTGCTTTGAGAGATGATAAAGAGGACAGCAGCCCAGTCAGCAGACTTAAGTAGCCTTTCCTGCTTGACACAGATATATATTCGTTACATGAAATAGGAATTTTTTTCTGTTTAGGCAGCAGAGATTCTCTGAATAATGATGCCCGTCATTTACAGACTGCTTCTATATGATGGGCACTGCTAGGTAGGTTCATGACATCACATCGTCGGTCTTGGCCCAGCAAGGCTGACTCACTAGCATGTTTCAGACATAGTCAGGCCTGCAGCCCAAGGTGAGCCAACATGCTTCCTGTAGTATTTAATTTTTCATTGGAACTTGCTATGTGGAGCTCTTGAGTCACTATCTCCCCTAATTTCTCATGTAGTGAAACTATCTTCTGTTTGAGAATTACTGACTTGTTTTTTTGATCCACAAAACCCTTTTATTGTTTAAGTGTGCTTCTATTTTATAACAAATATCTCCTACAACACAATAATAGTCTAGATTCTAAATTTGAACATGAACTTCTAGCATTAAAACACATTCTCTTAGAGACTAGGAGACAGAATTTCAAATGCTTGACAAAGAGACATCAAAAAACCAGGCCCAAGGCTCATACTCCACTAAGCTTCTCCCGGGATGCCATACTTTACTCCACACTGTTGCATCCTTTGGTAACAATATCTACAGACTCCTGGTCCTGAGTCCCAAGAGGGGGAAGGTTGACACATTTGTGCACTGAGACAATTAGCTACTTCCATTTCTTTTCCCGTATAGAACAGAATAATGGCTCTTCTGAGATGTTATAGGTTGTTTAGAAACTCACTGAAATCCTGAGGTGCTAGAATTGATAAGAACCAGAGCCTTGGTAGCCATAAGAGCTTGGTGAAATGAACCACATCTCCCTTGTTCCTGATTAATAGGATCTGTTCTACTCTGCATGCACATTGCTGGTTGAGGAGTACTGCTTGAGACTTGGACTGAGAGAGATGGGAACACCTGTAGTGGAAGTATGTATAGTTTGTTGATTAGATTACTCCTGGGCTCACAATCTACTCCACCTTGGTAGAGAATCTATTTGGGAAAACTACATCCCAAACATTGTGGGAGAAGAGCAATAAAGCACAAATCTAGGTGACCAATCAAAAGCAGGTTAGGTTCTCTTTCCACTTTAACTAAAGGATTTATATCATAAACATTTAGAAGCTGACTTCTTGAGTGTGTATATATTGTCATTCATTCAGATTCTCTGTTGAGGATGGATGCTTCCCCATGGATGCTTCCCCCTTTGAGGATTTTTGTTACTCCTGAGACATAAACTTCAATAAATCATAAATTACTGAAGCTTTTCACAGAATTTTGTTCTGGGGAAATCTTCCTATAGGTGTGGTAACTGAACCTTACTGTATATTTTTTGATGAAGCAGAAGAATGAAGTATGGGATCATAGGAAGCAGCAGCACTTAAAAACTATTACCTTTTCCTTCCAGTCTACACTTGAAAATATTCCTTTAGAATATTTTTGTTCCTCTTCTTCGTTGATGATAATTAATAAGTCTAGAGCCTCCCACAAGTACTTTATCACTGAGCTTATATCCACCCCGATCTCTTTTTTACCTTTTGAGACATGTTCTTGTTAAGTTGTTCAAGGTAGCCTCAAATTCATTCTGTACCCCCAGGCTAGCATTGAACCTCTTATCCTCCTGCCTCTGTTTCTTGCATAGCCTCCCAACTGGGTCAGTTCTGCCCTGGCCCTTTTGACCCTCTTTCTTTCTAACATCATTACAAAAGTCTATAAGGCTCATCTCAAGTGGAGACTTAGTCTGCATGTAATCTAAAGAATTCACACAAAGGTATATTGAGAGCCTGTCTCACTAGAAGCAGCACTCATGGCATTTCTGTAACCCTGGCAGCCACATTTCAGCTGATTTCTGCTTGTAATGCCAATCTTCCCCTGAAGTAAGAAACTTAGAGTTCATAATTTCAGGTAACAGACGCTATTGCTTCTAGGGACTTCAGAATATTTTTAAAAATGGTGATTATAGCACTTTGTATACTTGCAAAAAAAAATCAGCCTATATTTAATTTTAATGTTGTTCAGGCAACTGACAAGGGTCCATGGTTTGTTTTCACTGCAGACTATAAAAGATGTGCCAGGCTACTTACGCGGCTGGCTGTCAGTCCCATGTGCATGGAGAGATAAGGTAAGCTACCAGACAATTGTGGTAGACACACAGCAAGTGTCAGACTCCCATGTAGGTCATAATAAACCACCCGGGCATTTAAACACATGCATGCTTTCACAATAGTAGCCTTACTCTGAGCAAAAATCAACCAATTTATCTCAAAACAAAGGCCATGAGTAGAAGGCTCCCCCTGCTGGCTATCTATAGTGGACATTCTTATTGGAATGTCATATAGCAGATAGTTTAACATTGGGATATGTTTTAATCTATTGCTGTTGACTTCCAAGCTGAACTAATTCACTGATGTTTATGAACACAGACATCCTTCAAATTTATTTAATAAACAATATAGAAAATGTAGCAGGCTAGAACTGTGGTTCCCTGCTGCCCAACATTGCATTGCCTATCAGTCCATAAAAACACCAAATTTAAAAACTGAAGCATGAGGTTAGGGATATAGCTCAGAGGGTAAGAGCATTTACTATGCACACATAAGGCTCTAAGTTCAAATTCCTATTAGCTATGTAAAATGCTGGCCATGACAACAGATACCTATAACCCCAGAGCTGTACTGGCCAGACAAGAGTTTCAGTGAGAGACCCTTTCTTGAAGGACAAGGATATTATATAACAGGACACTCACCATCCTTCTCTGGCTTCTGTATGCATACAGGGGCATGCACATCTGCATGTACATATGTATACACCACAGACACACACACACACACACACACACACACACTCCTGAAACATGATACTTCTCAAATGTGCATTCCTTTTGTATCTTGGTAAAGTAATACAAAACTTTAAGTTAAACTATACTACTTATAACTAATCACAGCCACACAAATTTTATGTATCTGGTAAAGGTTTGGAGTGTTATGATCATAGTAAAAAAAAAAAACAAAACAAAAAAAAAAAACTAACACAGCTAACATAAATGTTTCTGAGTGCTCACCCCGAATGCCTAGTGGAAGAAATGTAAATGCACTATCAGGTTGTAACTGTACACTGGCCTCTTAATGCTCTCAACTGTGCTGCTAACAATGCATAGAGGGGAGATGGCTTTATTTCCCAACAGATTCCACTCATTCATTCAAGACTAATTGACAGAACTTTAGTTTAATCAGTCCTGTATTTCTATGTTATAAGTCAGGCATTATTAGATGGGGATTCACACCACAAGTAAGACATGCTTCCTGACTGCAAATGCCTGCTCCCAGAAAACATGCCTGCTGTCCAGAAAATACAAATAAAATGATGCATTTTTTTTAGTAGCTGTTCTAGATTGTCACATTAAAAAAAATGGATGAGAGCAGCACTCTTTTATCTACAGATATGTTCAGTACAACAGCAGCCCTGTGCAGAGGTAAACCTTGGACATGACTTAGCAGGGCCAATACACAGCAGCCTCACGATGTTGGCCACAACATCCTCACAATCTGGACTGATATATCAGGACCAAAAGCCACTAAAAATATGAGCCTCTCCACTACTGGTGAAGCGAAGCAGTGAGGGCTGCATAAGCAAACTGGCTGTTTCTGGAAGAAGCAGGTGTGTTCATGCCAGTCAAAGCTGAGAAGTGCATGCCCTCATTTCCCTCCTTTCCAACATTTTTAACTACCACATTTATAGCACACAGAAGTGTTTTCTCTTAATGAACACACACACATACACACACACACACACACACACACACACACACACACACACACGTACGTGCTGGTGATGTGCTGGGGAGATAAAAATGTCAGTTCCATTATATCCCTTGGGAAGTATTTCCATTTACTGCTAAGTAGAGAGAGCATATTCGGCCTATCCACTGAGAACTTTCTTGCCTTTTGTACCACCTAGCCTCCTGTACAGGACTCAGTTTCCCAAAGAGCCAAACTACCACCAGCACACAGCACTCATGCATCATCCCTATTTGGTCTGTGTCTGGCAGGCATCAGCAGCACATATGTGCTTGCACTGATACATTATATTGTAGAAAACAAGGAAAAGGCAAGGCACGTTGGATAGATAGGGCACGGGGTGGCCACAATGTGTCCCACACTGGCCTCTGCTACATCTCCTGCATTATCCAGTAGGAATTTGACAGGATATTGCACACAGTACAGAGACAGGAAGATCTGTGTTCACAAACTTCTACACAAAGGCCACCTGCTTCAACAGTCACTTATCCCAAAAGGAATAGGTTCAGTTTGGCCAAAATATGGGTGTGGGGGGCAGTTCAAAACACTAGTATCCCTGTCAACTATTAGTTTAAAACTTTTAAAGATTAAACTCTTGTTAAGTCAGAAGGGTTTAAAATGATAGCAAACCAGTATCTAGTGGCCACCAGTAGAAACTTGAATAGGTATCCCTGTACTTTGTGGGTTGGTTCAGAGCACTAGTCAGACTCTCAGGGCCAGAACAAGCATCATGTCTCACCACAACAGAGAAAAGCCTGGTTCACAATGTTCATACCAGTCTTCTGCTGTGTCCAGTTCCCATCTTCTCCCTTCAAGACAGTTGAACTAGATTCCTGTCCCAGCTCTTGCCCACAGCCTAAGGGGAAGGTTTTATAAGTCCTAGAAGACAAGTAATGAGCAAATTCATGAGGTTTCCTTGGGAAGCTCAGTAACTGTCCTCGGACCAGAGAAAGCATATTCTGAGTCACACACATATCTTATTATTGAACCTGTAGGTCAGTTAAGTGAAAAGCCTGAGCCTGGTTCTGGTTTCTTTTAAAGTATAGACTTCAGTACTAAGTATCCAAGTACCTGGTTTAACCTGAACATAGCCTAGTAACCCTGATATTACCCTTCTTTTAAAACTAAAAGGCAAACACATTTTAACAAGGAGTATTAGTTTTACTGTGTGAACGCAGACGTGTAAGGCAAACTATTTCCCGGAAGCGACACACTGCAAATCTGTTGAATGAATACCCAAGGAACTCTACCTTACATGTAGGACCAAGAACTAAAGTTAACTTTAGCAAGTATTCATTCATAGGTGGGCACGATGGCTTTCATCACTTAGGCAGCAAACACATGGTAACTGAAGAATTGTTTTCCAGGTGGGAGTGGGGGGAAAACCTAGACTCTCAACATAAGAGAAGCAGACTCGTTTATAAATGTGTTGTCATATTACTGGATTCACAGGTCCCCTAGAATTGGTAATAAAGAGTGAGTGGTTCTATGAAATCAAATATAATTGTTTTCAGCTGCAAAGGAGCAACACCAGGAACCTTGAAAAGTGCCTTGGAAACCAACAAGAGAACAGAACCATCTTCATGCCCATTTCCTGTGGACAGAGATTTATTTTTGCATTCTTCCATAATTACTTTGCATTTTCTATGTTGCTGACAGTTTACAAATATTCATTCAGCAAATCAGTGTATCTGTCAGTGAGATTTGCTACTCTTAGATTATAAGAGAGAGCACTCCATATTTGATGTTTAATACTATAAAATGAGGTATTTCCCTTTTAGGATTAGGTAGAGCCACAAGTATTTCTTTAGAAACCTAGGCAGAACATTAAACTGTATTTTCATAAGAGTGTAAAGTATGATTTGACATTTTGTATTACTTCTACAATTAAACTCCCAAAGTACAGTTTGGAACTGCATGAAAGATTTTAATGAAAACCAAAAAGACCTCACTTGTTTTGAAGACAGTGGCATATCAACATGTGGATATGCCCAGGCCAGTCTCATTTGTCCTCTGTAAAAGTACATTCCAGGTATTGTACAATATGTAAATACTGTGAATAAGTACAAGGAAATAAATGAAGTGTTTGGTATAATGATCAGTCTTCAGAGTGCCTATTCTACAACATTATCATTGCTATATACACAAACACGTGACATATATATATATGTGTGTGTGTGTGTGTGTGTCACTAAGTATTAAATGACATAAATTCCTGATTACTTGGTCTCATTTAGTCAACAATACTCCAAATAAGTTCATATTCACTATTTCCTACATAATTGGAAGAGAATGCCAAACTAAGAACACCAAGAACAGTTCCAAATTTTAATGACTATGTATTTTTTTTAAGTAATTAGATTGAACTTAAAATGGTAAGTGTCTGTGTTTATGAGTCTTACACATGGTATTGTTTGGAACAGCCACAGAACAAAGTAGCCACCAGAATTCCACATTCCAAGGATTTGCATCTAAGGTATACATATAAAAATTCAAGAAAATAGGACTTTATAATGTGAAAGAGAAATTTGAGATCCTCAAGCAACTACCAAACTAAGATGAGAGCTTCTGACTTATTGTTAACTATTTGTCCTTTGCCCTCCTAGTTTTTAACTTTGTGAAAACTATGACCAAAACCCCACAGGAGCCAGAAAGTTAATGGGTGAAGTATCTGTCTTTGTCAGGACATCATGGCCTTTCTGTGAAAAGGGGATGTTGGGGTAGTTGCTTTTCTCAAGAGGGTCTTTTTCACCTTCCTTTGAGAATGGGCTATGGTCAAGCCCGTAACTGCATATTCCCAGGTATCTATGCTTCTTTCAAACATTGAGATACCTTTTCTAACTAGAAGTTCTCCAGGATTGGAGATCACTAGGTGTGACCAGTTAAGTTGGGCTAAGACAGACATTTACCACCTACTCAGCTAGGAAGCTGGCAGGAAACATCAGTTACACGAAGATGGCCCATAGATAAGGATAGCTCCAGAGTCTCTTAATTAAACATACCTCACCATATGTCACAGCAATGTGCTTATATTTTTTATCACTTTACTTTCTATTGAGAATAAGTACACAAACTTAACAGACCAAGTAAAAAGGCACATAAAGGCATTGTTTTACATATTTTTTTCATTCTGTCAGTAAGAAAGCAGGCAGACACCAGATTTCTATTTCAGTTATATTTGTTAATGTCCCGGTTTAACTCACATTTCTTTTCTGACATATGAATTTGAGGTCACTTTTCTGATTACTTATGCTTGCTTGTAACTTTAAAACGTTGATGAAAGAACACTATAAACATTCCACTATTTAAGCACACCTTTTCTTTTCTAAAGAGGTAAAGTGGCTCAAATAGAAACAAAGCTCAAAAACACTAGACAAAAACCAAGAGTAAAAATGCTAATTTTATCAATCTGTTGCCCCCATCTTCACTGTCCAGCCAGGGACTCCTGCTGGAATTGCAGGCCAGCATTATCTCATGCGGCTTCTCCTCTCTTTCAGGTATTTCAATGCACTCAGTGTGTCTGAGTTAAAACTCTGCCAGTGTTAAATGGAGGCTAATGGGGATGGAGTTATTGTCTAAGGAGTCTAGGACAGAGAGGTATAAGGCAAGCAAATGGCTCCCCTGGGTGCTGGCCATGCACACACTCTAGTCAGCACAGACTACCCAGGCTGGCTGGGAGCAAAGCCTGACCTGGACCCTGTAGGTCATTCTTACTTCACTGTGTTCTATTTTGTTCCATATTTGCTTGTGTCACTATTTTAATTAGGGCAAGGTGAGAAGTTCACTTAGTCTAAGGATGCTTAGCCTCACCTCAAACTGTCTTACTCAGATAGTTTTATCCTTCTGACATATCCCTAATTTCCACCTACAATTATTTTAAAGGTAGACAGTAAGTCAGCTGAAAAGAGAGGTGGGACATGGGGCTAAGGACTGCCACCACCCTTGGGCATGGCTCTGGTGAGTGAGTTGCTCAATGGTGGTGGGCGGGACCATCTAGCGAGTCTTCTCCAGGAAGGCCTTGCAGCACCTGAGGCATTGCTGGTACACTACTTCAAAGTCAGAGTCATTGCCCTAAAAGAATGAAAAAGAAAAAGCAACAATGGTTTATGATGGATGACAATGTCCTCAGAAGACCTAGACCTGTCATTTAATACCACAGAATACATCCTGTCCATCTTAACAGTGGCCCCAAACCTGAAATGTACTTACATAATAGGGATCTTCAATAATGAGTTGTTTCTGTGGATCATAGCTCCCAAGTAGCTCAATTTTAGCTTTGCAGTTTTTAACTTGATTACTTTTTCTATTCAAATCTCTGTAAAATTGAAACATGAACTTAGATTTCTGATCTAAGGTTTTAAGTTAAACAGGGACATCTGCTCAGGGTTTATGAAATATCCTATCAAAATACAACAGTGCAACCTGATTTGAAATGAAACAGAACACTCTGCAGACCTGTGGGACTCTTGCAGCTGTATGCCACAGTGTACAGATTCTGATACCCAAATGAGCATCTTTAAGTCACTCAATTATTAGGTTTTCTTCTGATTTTGAAATGTATTTTGGGAAAATAAAAATGATACCATTTCAAAAAATGCCAGGAAAGAACTTGGGATGCATACCACACCCCAAGACAAAGGGACAACATTCAGGTCAAGTGAAGACAGGAGCAAGTAGGACTGAGGGCAAGGACAGGTGAGACCAGGAGCAATTGTGCTTGGGACAAATATGTTCAGTGGAAAGCATGAAGGTCAAGATGATAGCAGCTATGATTTTAGGCCCTTCTAGACCCACCCACCTGTCCTGTGAACTTAGGGGAGTGACTTAAGTCCACTGTTCCTCATTTTCTTTCTTGGTAATAAAGTGAATTTAATAAAGAGGGGTACGGACCTGTGGACCACATCAGCATTACAGAGCAACCAGTGCTACATAACACCTTAGCCAATCAGTTGTAATTAACCAAAAATGTAAACCCAGTAAAGTCTCTGTCTTACCAGATTTACTCTGGAGCCTGCACTAATAAAGAAATAAGATATAAGATACTCCTCATCTGTTACAGCACTTAGCTGAATTAATGCAAATCCATGCATCACCTCTATTCCTATAGCCCCAAACCAGCTGCCTCCATGTCCACTCATTGCACTAGCTGGACTCTCTCATTTGGAAGCCACATCTCTGTAAACAGATCTGAGTCAACCATACCTCATCCTCTGATAATTCTGTCATGCTGTAAATTATAATTAACCTTGTACATTAAAAACTGTAAGACAATATAAAGTCACTGTGTACAACAACTTGCTGGGGCTATGACACAATTGAGGACAGAAATACCGTTTAAAATATGATTACCTTATTAGGTGGTGCTCGCTTTTAATCCCAGCACTCAGGAGGCAAAGGCAGTTGTGAGTTCCAGGACAGACAGGGCTACACAGAGAAACCCTGTGTCAAAAAAAAAAAAAAAAAAAAACAAAAAACAAAAAACAAAAAACAAATATATATATGATTACCTCAGATTGCTTTCATCCATACAAAGTATATAATCGAATGTGGCAAAGTCTTCTCTTGTAATCTGCAATTAAGAAGTCAAAACACAGTGATTATATACTTACAAAACAGTAGTTGGAAAAAAGAAACATATAATTACAAGTTAACTCATTAACTAAGTTACATGTTCAGTCATTAACTAAAATTTTAATAAAATAAGCACTTTGGAATATTTTTAGTTAAAATACAATAATTGTATTTCCAAAACTGCAATGCAAAATTTTAGATCATTCTTTCTTTGAAATAATCAGAAAATATAAAATCTGGACATAAAGGCTATTGTTAGTTTTGGACCCTCGGTAAAGAAATACAATTCTGTTGACACATGAAATGACTTTCAAGCCATCACCTCCACCACTCTATGTCATTCCACTGACTGTCGTAGGCCTTGGTAACACACTCTAGAATAATCAAGGAACAGATCTTCTAGGGGAGCTATCCATCCATGAAGCAAGGAGGAGTGGAGATACCGGGCCTCAGAAAAGGGAGAATAACTGACTTTCAAAGGGTCCACCAGGGACAAGAATCCATAACTCAACATGGAAGAGTTTCTCCAGTACTTCATCAGATGTACTTCTTTCTGACACTGTATAGTTTAAGATATGTAACAGTTGAAGAAATTTATCTTCTAGATTTTGGCGACCCAGGAAGCATCTGGGTAAAAGGCGTAATGACTATAGCCAAGCAATAATAAAAATGGCCACTTGCTTGTTACTCAAATGAAAAATTTTAGCATTTAGTATACACTTCTATTAACTTTTAGTATAGCATTTAAATAATCACAAAGAACTGTATGGTTTTACTATTCCCAATATATATAACTTATTTCAAAGATACTAAAATACTATTATATAAAGTGTTATTTTTCAAGTTATAAAAAATACCTTAGCATTAATTTTTAACTTACTATAATTAATTTGTCTTTTAAAAGAGTTAACACTTGATGACTTACAGAGTCAAACCACTCTAGATTTTTGGTTTTAAAATAGCTGAGAAAGAAGAGTAGCTAGAACTTCATCTTGTAAAGAATGAACACACAGTAAAGCATTTTTACACACAGGACATTGCATGTGAAAAATTAATCCAATTACCGAATATCATTAGAAAATCCACACAGAAACCAAGATTCTTCTTCCAGGTGATAAGCATGCTCCTAAGAATAGCTGGCTCATTACAGCAGTATGGCAGGAATGCAGCCACAGATAACAAATCACCTCCAGTTGAACTCCTTCCTCTGCATGGACCTTACCTGCTGAACTCAGTGAGCATTGACTGGACCCTACCCAGAGCTCTCCCAAGGGCCTTTTCACTCATTCATGTCCACATCCAAACAGCCTATTTACGTAGGTTTTATCATTGTTAAAACTAAAACAAAATTATTTTTTTCTTAATTAAAAAATACATATCCAGGACTAGAGAAATGGCTCAGAGGTGAAAAGTTCTTATAGAGGACCCAGGTTCAGTCCCCAGCATCCACATAGTGTGTCACAACTATATAATAAAATTCCAGTTTCAAAGATTCTGACATCCTCTTCAAACCTCTGCAAGCACTACACAAATGTAGTATACATATATTTTCAAGTGAAACATTCATACACCTAAAATAAAAATATTTTTTAAAACATTAAAAACCTAGAACTATGAGCTTTTGCTCTTAAGATTTGTGTGTGTGTGTGTGTGTGTGTGTGTGTGTGTGTGTGTGTGTGTGTGTGTGTAGGTATGTATCTGTATGAAGGCATTAGTAGAAACTAGAAGGTATATCAGATCACCTGGAGCTAGAGTTATGATCTGCCTAACTTGGGTGCTGAGGAAGTACTCTTAACCACTGAGACATGGCTCTAGCCCACAGGTGTTTTAATTTTCAGTTCAGGGAATAACACTGTCAGGCAGATTTTCTTATCAGCCTCTGCACTAAGTTCTACTAGGTAATACCACTTAAGGTGAAGTTATATGCAATTTAGGAATGCTTCCAAAGGACTTGTGGATCACTGTGAATGTTACTTACTGTTTGATAGTAAACCACAACTGAGTACATATGCACAAACAACCATCAGAACTGAGATTTCAATGATGTCAAGTACCCAAGAGCTTCCTTGAGAGTAAAGACTCAAGCAAAGGCTATGGTGGAAAAGCAGGGCCCCAAACGCCTTGTTGTCAGCCTGGGAAAATAGAGAAGAAACTGGGGCCAGGCCTGGCAGGACAGGAAGCCTTGGAAGAGCACAGGCCCAGAAAATGAGACTAGTATAGGCTGCTCCTCTTGGCCTAACCAAGTCCTCTCCTACCAGGTCAAAAAGCTCAACAGGCCAACGAGAAGTTGTGTGGACTCAGTAAAGACAAGACCAACATTCAGTGCTCTGAGCTGTCCCTGCCCCAAAGGTATGCTGACCATGCCATACCTCAGACCCAGCAGAAGGAGCAGGGTACTCAAGAGTTACCAGAAGCCTCCTCTCTGATCGCGACACTTAACTACCTGCATCCTGACAAAAATGGTGGTAAAAATTCAAAGGCACTATGATTGTTAGTGTAAGGACACCACACAACAAAAAGGGGAGAAATCAGACTCACCAGGCCTAGTAGTACAGGCCTGTAATTTCAGCTCCTTGTGAAGGGGAAGCAGGAAGATCACAATCAAGATCAGCCCAGGCTACAGAATGAGACCATCAAAATAAAAACTAAATAATGCTGGGGACATAGTTCAGTGGCAGATCATTTGTATACAAGCATGTAATAGGCCCTACCTAAGGTACTCCAATTCCCAGTACTCCAAAAAGGTAAGAAGAGAACAAGCTCAGAAATGACCCAGAAGGATGTTAACAGACCTTATTTAAAAGACTAACAGTATGTTCACTTGTAAATTCACAGCAGCTTTTGTTACTGCACAACTTGGAGCCCATCAACAGTCTGGCAAGAATGGGAGAGAAAACATATGAGGCCTAACCCCTAGCTGAAGAAGTTACTTTCCTTAAGTGGTACAGCCAATGGCACATTACCCACTATCCAGTAAATAACCCCGAACACAGACATGCAAACAACCTTAATTAAACTCAGTGGGATGAACACACACACACACACACACACACACACACACACACACACACACACACAAACACACACAAGTATGAGGGAAATATGTTGGGAAGGAGGAATTCAAGGGAATGAGGAGATAAAAGAGGAAAACAGGAAAGTGAATAGGAGCAAATATATTATGCACACACAGGAAATTGTCAAAGAACTGTAAAATATCAGTAACAGTATGATATCAAAAAATTATAAGAGGTTAAGTTTCACCAGAAAACTACAATTACAAAAATGATCACATAAAACTTAAAACAGTTGTCAATAAAATGACAGACATGAGTAACTCCAGACACTTATAGACTTTGAAAAGAGTAAAATGCTTAGAGCAGAAAACTAGTTACCAGGAAATCTCAGAACAAGAACAGAGTGACAGAATGGAAGCAAGAGAAAAGAACATAAAGAGTTTATGTTCAATATATGTAAAAGTTATCTCTTAGGAAAATATGGTGAAGTAACAGTCTGTCATTTCCCAAAATTTATTTTAAAAAAATCAAGTCACAATTCAAAGATCATACTTTGGTCTCCCACAGCAAAGCTGCTTAACTATAGACCAGAAAAAAAACAAGCAGCCAGAAAAAAAAGATGGATAATTTCAAAGCAAAGGAACAGCAAAAACAATTGATCAGATCAACTTTTTCAAAGTAGAGCTACTGTCAACTTTTTATAAACTTCTAAAGCTAAGAAAACATCTCCTCCAAAGTGTATCTGATAAGGAATGGGTATAGATGCTAGGTATAAACCCATTGGAATCCTGTGCTCATGCTCACTCCATTTGCAGTGACGTTACCCAAAGAAACCTCACAATAGAAGCTGCCATGTCCAGCAGCAGTGGAGCAGGTAGAATGATGAAGCACCTAACACTGACCAGGGCAAACTGGTGTTACACTTCGCAGCAACATGGAGAAGATACTATAAATGTATGGACTCACTAAGCTCACATCCCAAGACATTACTACTGAGTTAAAAAGAACAGTATCCTAACAACATGCCACCTATTAAACCTCCGTTGTAGACTAGGGAAATAAAACTTTAAGAACTGTACTAGAATAGTTATTTACACAAAGTGTGGCAATTAGTAAGAAAAAACAAATCTGCATACATAAGTAAAAAATGTGGTATTGACCTACAAAATATTCTTTAAGTGTTTTGGAACTAAAAATACAAAAAAACAATGGTTGAGAACTTTTTCTTAAAAAGGAAAAGAGAAAAACAAACAGATTCCATTGAAATTCTACTTTCAAAGCTAATCATTAAAATTGCTCTAGAGGGAGCTTATGGCTTTGTTTTCCAAGGCCAATGAATTGAAAATATTCTACTTGCTTTAGTTACACTCAGAGTATGAAAAAGAACCACATCTTAAAGTTTTGACTGACCACTCAAAGTCCACATTCCCAAGACAGTGGCAGATTGGCTAAGTATGCAAAAGCCTGAAGTGATTCAAATGAACAAAAGACATAAAATCTTTATTTTCCACCTAATGAACACTGTACTAAAAGAAGGGTCAATGAACTATTTAATTTAAATAAAGAACTCATAAAAACATAGCTGGCATCTTCTGATAATATGGACACAAAACTATCTTCATATGTAACTGAAAAATTTGTTCTTATTTCCAGTCTTTAAGACAGACTAGCAAGTGTTCATAATAACACTAGAGTTCTCCCATATTTTTATGGTACTTCAAAGTAGAAAAGGTGTGTGTGTGTACAGTGTAACTTTGTTGTAACAACAAACTGATAACATAAGCAGAAAGGATGTCTAACCGAAGCTTGTACTTGGTAATATAATAAAGACCACAACTCAGGTCTGGCTCATAGTCAAGATTGTCTCACTGAACTTTATGCCTTTAATTTGTATTTTAACAGGTTACCCAAAGTCATCCATGCCTTTCAGAACTACACAGGCAGCAAGTTAGTTCACCCTAACCAAATGCATCCAGTAACACATAGGGTGGTCAGTCTCTCAAGTTACGAGATTCTACGTCGTAGAAATTAAACAAGATCTTTTCTACCTGTCTTGCCTTATGGGCTGTGCTAATGCCATGATTTCTTAGGCAGCTGACAGCTCTTGGGTCTGGGGGCCGGCCCACGTTCCAGTCGGAAACAGCGCTGCTGTCAATGGCCCACTGTAACACAAAACATATGTCAAGTTCCAGTACGGTACCTGCCGTGCAATGTGATTCATGGGGGTGTCATGTTTTCTCATGCAGTTCTGCCCACGATAGTCAGGGGGGTTCCCCACTTCATAGGTGGATGTAGCCGCACTGTCTATCCTCCACTGCAGGAGAGAAAAAGAATGTTCTGGCACCTTGCTGCCCAAAGGTAGTCAGCCTGGACTCTTCATGCTACTGAATAGTACTCACATTATCTGAAACATTTTCATCAGTTACCAATTTTCTGAAAACAGCTTCTGCAATGGGTGACCGGCAAATGTTACCTTTAAAAAAAAAAAAAAAGAGGGAGAAGACATACAGAGATTGTTAATTGTGGAAGAAAGGTACATATTAACTCCTGACCTACAGAATGTATGGACCACTCCCAAAATGGATATCCAGCTGCATCTATTTAACTTTAGTTGGGAGAGCAGTGCAGAATTCCCTAGCAAACAGCTGATCAAACAAGGTTCACTGCCCATGATCAAGGTAACTAGAGCTGAAGAAAAATAAAACCCAAATCAATTTTCACTAGCAATGAACCAAAATCAAGTCCTGAAATTAATGAAGTGGGTTGCAATCAGCTTAATAAGTACAATAGAACAGCAGTATGTATTTTCAAGATTACCAAGCATACCTTGCCTCTCAGGTTTGATGATTCCTTAGAATCATGGAATTCCTGATTCCATGTAGAATTCAGGTAATGACATAGTTGCCACTCAAAAGAAGATACAGACTGGAGACAGATGGAAGAAGGGAAAACTCATTCTGCGGGGGTCCCAAATAAGTCTTCTTTTACTTCGGGGACACCTAACCCTCTTGTCACTAACTGACAATATATAAAAGTAGTACTGCCAAGCCAGGAAGCTAACCATAGTACTGATATTCAAAGTTACTAATTAAATGTGAGGAGATAACAACTCAGAACCTACCTGAATCCCCCAACAACATAAACTATGGGGACTCCAGGTGTTAACAGATACTCTTATTATTCCAAAACAGTACCAAGGAAATCAAAGATGAGCCAATCTGAACAAGAACCAAATTCCTTACTACACCAACGAAGACAAAAGACACCTTAGATCTGCAAGCAGATCAACAATGAGGCAAGCTCATATACTAAGAAGACACAATATAATAATACTTTTAAAAATGCTGATAAACAAGTGCTACAATAGCACAAGACAGAGAAACACAAAGATTCCACAAAGCTAAATAAGATGCCAGGAAACCTAAGCTTGAACTGATGTCCACAGGATAAGAAATCTAAATGGCATTGTGGGAGGACCTGAAGGTAGGAACTGCAGGATGCAGGAGTACATCTGTACTACTCCAGACAAAAAAGCAGGGACTGCCAGCAGGGAATATAAACTGAGGAGCCTGGAACATACAGCCCTAATCCCATGCCAAGTCTGTACTTGGTGTAGCCAGTGAGAACAACCTGAAGGTTCTAGCAAGGTAGCTTACCAAACACATTTATTTTGTATTCCTACTACTTTTGAGTCAAGTACTATGGTAAGCCTGAAGATAGAAAGCTGTTTAAGATACAACTTCTTCCTGCAAGGTGGAAAGCTCAGAAGAGCTCAGAGATATACTGTGAAGTTACATGAAAAAGCCAATGGTAAATAGTCTAAGGTCTGTGGGTATGGCTCCTTTCCTCACCCACGCTTTAATCAGCCCAGACAACTCTAATAAGGCAGGTTTATAAGAGAAAAACAAAACCAAAAAAAAAAAAAACAAAAAAAAAAACACAGATATAATTAATTTTATTAGACATGGAAACCTTCCAATTGAAGAGCCAAAGATTTTGAAAAAACTGTCCCACTTCCCACTTTTAAAAATTTAGCATATATAATTTTATGACTAAATATGGTAAGAATGGATAGTTGTACTGGACAAAGCACCTCTTCCTGATAAAACATATGCAGGGAGACCAGTAGGAGCCTAGTAAGGTTTGTCTGCATCTATTCTTTCCTCCTAGTATAGGATCAACTATGGAACACAGGTCTTTAAGGAAAAAGGGGAAATCTTTCTAGGTTTAAGGTTTCATAAAGGAAAATAGAATTATAGATCCTATATCCTATCTTAGAGGAAGTCTGCTTTGCTTCAGGGGGCAAGAGGCAGGAGGGCAGAATACAAGAGAACTTGGTCCAGGTACACAGCAAAACAAAACAACATATTTGAGTGTATCATGTAAGCCCAACATTATGAACAAAATTATGCAAGAAAGAAACTGTGAGAGGTCAAAATTTCCTGGTTCTCATAGACAATAGGACATTCTGACATGTGATGAAACATAGATGCTCTGGACCAGTTCCTGCCTTGAATATCCTTCCATATCTAAGTACTTGGCTTCTCCCTTTATACTGTGTTTTGTTTGTTTATTTTAATAGCAATAAAAAGTCTTATTGATCAACCATTAAGCTAAGACAGGAATTCATTTTGAATGTCCTCCATAATGCTAGTCCTTGTTGTGAAGGTTTTCCTTTCTACATTCTAATTTTTTATTTTTCTCTGTATAGAGGTAGGTACACAGGCAAGTGTTCAGCTACATATGAGGATAGGGGTAATGTTGGGTGGTGTTCCTCAGAGACGGGGTTTCTTACTGGGTTAGAGCAACCTAGTAGGATAGGCTTGCTGGCCAAGAGGCTCAGGGACCCAACAAACACTACCTACCCAGTACTGGGATTATAAACGTATGTTACCATGTTCAGTTTTTGTTTGTTTTTCTTTTACTTAAACATAGGTGTCTGAAAGAAAACCCATGTCCCTCCAACTAAGATCTCCCTAGCCCTGATTTTTCTCATAAAGACTGCCATCTTTCACCAACAAAAGGCTTTATGTACATTACCACATATCCAGGCAGTACTTTTTATAGCCATTAGTGATAGGAAAATTAAGACAACTGTCATTGTTTTAGAACATTAGAGGTAGCTGATGTGTAATATATCAACATTTAAAGATAAAATGCAAAATGTCTCCATCTTTGTATAAAAAGAAATACATCATTAACTGTGAAGTAACAGTTTTGTTTTTCCACAATACAAACATTTGGGCCATTTCATCATTTTAGCATGTTCACTCATACTTTCACCCTAGACAGCTGTATTTAAAGATACGTAAATGTAGATTAAAAGTACTCTTATTTCACACCAGGCACTGGTGGCACTGGCCTTTAATCCCAGCACTCGGGAGGCAGAGGCAGGCAAATCTCTGTGAGTTTGAGTCCAGCCTGGTCTACAGAGCTAGTTCCAGGACAGGTTCCAAAGCAATACAGAGAAACCCTGTCTCAAAAAAAAACAGAGGGAAAATAAAGTACCCTATTGCTACAGAGATTACAAGTCATGAAACCTACAAGATCAATAAAGGGAAATATAAATGCTAATAATTTGCCTCTAGCTTCCCAATTTGTTATTAAATTTAATGTTATTAAAAGATAGACAGTTGAAATATTGCATAACATATACAAGATCCTAGGTTAGACCTCTGATCCCATCAAAAATGCATAAATAAAAATGTACATATATACATTAACACAGAGCCTCAGATTTTACTTTTCACAAATTCTGGAACTTAAACATGACCTTAGTTCTCTTCCAACCACAATGGTTGAAGCTGAGATCACACCTGCCTTTGTCCAGTCTTGACCAGCTTAACAGAGCAAAAAGCTCCTCTCATAATCTTGATAAAACAAGCTCTTTTAACCAGTAGCCCCTTCACCTTAAAAGAGTCCCATGAAGGGTTCTGAAGGAATAAAATGTTTGCACTCCAAACATAACAGCTTTTACTGTGTTCCTAATGTGTTCTGGGTATAATGTATCTGTACCACTCTCAAATTTTCCTGGACTAATAATTTACCACCTGACTAGCACACATCTGACTAAGAAAGATATCCCTGGTTTTTCCAGGGCCGCCTGCAGTCTAATCTTCAACAGCAGATGAAACAAACTATACCCTCCCCACTTCTGCTCTGAACCCTCCCATGGCTTATCTCGCCCAAAGTAAACCCAAGTCCTCACATTGACTCCCATGATCTGCACTCCAAATGGGGGCCCAGAAATGACAACTCATGGCTTACCACATTCACATATAGTCCAGAAAGTTAATAAAAATTTTAGTTTTAAATCATTTTTAAATGCAAATGCAGAAAATCTTGTGATATGAACAAATTGTATCAAGTCCAAATGCTGGTATCTATAAACAAGTTCTACTGACCATAACCAAGCTTGGTTCCTTTTGGGCCATCTATGGCTACACTATTGTTCACCATACAAAGTTAAAGAATTCACGCCAGCTCTTTACAGAGTATGCAGATGCCTGACCTAAAGTACCCACTGTGCATAAGGACCCTAATCTCTCCCCATGGTAGCCATGGGCAAAGAAATCTTGGCTGAGAAAGGCTACCTGGTCTCCAAACCCAGGTACCATGGCTTCCCTGGTTACAACTCTCACCTGAACACCACATACTCTATACTCTAGACCATGACAGGCAGACCTCCTGCCCGAGACCTGACTACAAACTACACCCTGTTCCCACCGTTTCTGCTTTTATTCAATACTTCACACCAACTGAATGAGGTCACTGGTATTCCTTGACTGATAATGAAAGTAATGTGGGGATTAACAGAATAGAGTACATACTGGTGCATGTTCTTGGGACTAAAGTTTTGTCTTGCTTTCTACTTCAGGCCCCCCTTTCTGCACTTCCAGTTTCATGGAGTAGTCTCTGATTCATGCTCTGCCCACCTGATGACCGTGATGCTTTGCCTCACTACAAGCCCATAATCAACCATCATTCCAGAAAGGCCCAAAACCTCTGAAACTGAGGCAAAACAAATCTATTCTCCCTTAAATTGTTTTGGTTAGATATTTCATCACAGAGATAAGTAACTGACACAGTAGACGATGGGAGACACGGACTTAAAGGAGGAGCAAGTAAGAGGGGGCACGTGTTGGGGAAGAGAGGGAGTAGGACATAGATTTGTGGAGGAAGGGCAGTTGGGAGGGTACGAGGTCTTGCGAAGGGCAGGAAGGAGAGCAAGGGCATCCTGGGGCAAAACTGCACCGATCTCAGGTTCTCAGAAGATGGGGGATGGGTATGAAAACGCCTGGCAAACGAGTGTTTAGGCGCGGGCCCAGCCAAAGCCTCCTGTCTCTGCTTCCCTCCGCCCAGTGCTCTTGTTGAGAAACTTAACACAAGAAATACTTCAGGGTCCCAAAGAGAAAAAACATTAAGTCGGAGCGCTCTTACCGAGACACACGAACAACACTGACTTGGACCCAACCTCTGCCATCTTTCGGTACAGACCCTGGCGCCCAGACACGGCGTAAGGACGTGGCGCATGCGTACCGAAAGTGCTCTGCTGGCAAACCTGCGCAGTCCAGTCCGCGCCGCCAGAGGCGGGGCCAGAAGTCTCCTGGAGGGCCGGACTCGGCTGTGGGGCGGGGCTGGTGGGCGGGGCCTGGCAACGGGGTCCAGAGTTTCCTCTGGGCTAGGCTGTGGTCACACGCCTAGGGACAGGGGCGGAGTGAACGCAGGACGATGTGCCAAGAAGTTTCACGGTGGCATGGTGTTGTGCTGGGTGGATTAGGACATGCCAGGGCGGCCAATGAGCTCTGGGATAGTGGCTTGTGGACCCTCCCTGGGCGGTGCTCCTCTGCTGAGGGACCGCCCTTCCGGGCAAGGTACCCGGTTGGACCACCGAACCTAGGCCAGCCTACTGCACAAGCAGTGGGTTTTCCTAATTAAAAAGAGGGAGGTGGTTTAGAAGACTCCAGAGGAATGAGGCGGGTGGAAGCAATTGAGCTATGTTCTGAGCAGGGTTATAGAACTGGCGATTGCATTGGCGAAAGCCGGGCGTACATCTATTCCCTCACCTGGGTCAGGTGTGCACCCGTTGGGCGGGTCCCGTCGGGGAGGCGAGGCCGACCAAGGAGAACGCCTTCCTCTTCCTGGGTTGGTGTGAGGAGCTTGGGCACCGAGAGGAGCGGCGGGCATCATCAGTGAGTACGGGTCTGAGCGGCTGGGGCAAGTCGGTATTGTAGCCACTCTTCATCTTGCAGTGGAAATTGTGAAAGAGAATGAAACAGTCAAGTCCGTAGGTTTATCTGTGCGCATCCACCAAGTTCATACTCCACGAATCCTTTGGCAAATCCTCAGAACTCAAGATTAGTTGCTATACTCTTGGTCATGAAGGTTTTGATTGGCTGTTCATCACAGTCGATTCAGTTCATTACAGAAAAAACTACATTTCTAATAATCTGATATTTTACTATCTCTGGTTTCAGGTTGTTTTGAGAAATAGCACCCTGTGTACTTGTCACAGATAGAAGAGCACCTTTGGTACAGAGCCGAGATTTGTGTAGGGCTTTTGTGGGAACGGGATCTCTGGAAAGGGATATTTTCCTGGGCAGGGGATGCTCACATGAGTGTGGGGCTTCCAGAGGAAAAGGTGTCAGTTCTGCAACACCATACTAAGAGGGGTGGCAGTGGAGAGTGCTCTCAGTACTGCGCCTCGGAATAAAATGCTTGTATGTTCCTTTTTAGAGTTTTGGATTGACTGGTAACAATAGGAAACAGTTTTCTCAATGTTCTCTACCGTCAAAATGTGCCATCTTCACTTCATTTCAGTAAATGTTACCACTGCCCTACTAAGGTAGAGCAGGGAACAAAGACTTGAGAAATCTCACCCGTAGGAATGCCCTGCCCTGGCGCAGAGCCTTGCCCTGCTCTGTGTTTACCAAGTGAACAGGTTCTGTGTTCCTGCTGGCCCAGGTACTTCCTTCAGATATGAGGAAATGTTTGGATTCATAATAAGTTGGTAAACCTTCACACAAAGTTTAGAGAATAACAGGGCTGGGTTTAAGGTGCTGTTTTATTCTACACCTTGGCCTGTTATTGAAATACCATATAAGTAAGTATCTGGTTGCTTGCAAATTGCTATCCTGGAGGTTATAGAATAAGTAATGACGTCCATACTGTTTATGGCATCTTAATTAAGGAAAATTGGCTCTTGGCTCACTACCAGTTTCAGTGAAATGAGTCAATGCTACATTCCCCATTTTTAATTAAAAAAAAAGTCTTTTTTAAAAAACTGGTACATTTTTTTATTTTTATTCTCAGGAGATTTCTTCCTATTAAAAACAAAGTATTTGGTGTCTCAAAATAAAAGGTTAATAATAGTCAAAGGTAAAATTAGTGCATTGTGACTGTTAAGAGTCATAGGTCCTTGTCTGTTCACTCATTCGCAAATGTGGAAATGACAAGATTTTTTACTGTTTAAGTTCTAAACACATTAAATTAATTTTTTCCTGTTTTTTAATAACAGTCAAGCAGCATCTATGATCCTGTCCTAAGCCAACATCTGAATTTCTCTGGGTAGCTGGTACAAAGCTAAGATTTTTCTGCCCTTGCTCCCAGCTCTATGTCCCCATCCACAGCCTGGTGCCAGATGGGGGGAAAGCAGTGGAGTTCACATGGATAATTTGGTTGTAAATTTTGTTGGGAGGCCTGGGCAGTCTATGGGGCCTCTTACAGTGGAACCAGTATTTATTTCTAGTGCATGAATGGCCTTTGGGAGCCCATTCCCCCATGGAGGGATACTCTCGCAGCCTAAATACATGGGGGAGTGCCTATGTCCTGCCCCAAATGATGTGATAGACTTTGATGATCCCCCCTGTATGGAAGGTCTCACTCTCCCTGGGGAGTGGATAGGGAGCTGGAAGGGGGGGAAGAGGGAGTGGGGGGAGGGCATGGGAGGGTGGGAGGGAGAGGGAACTGGGATTGATATGTAAAATAAGATTGTTTCTAATTGAAATTTAAAAAAAAAAAAAAAAAAAAAAAAAAACAGAAAGTCAGAAGAGGGTATTGAATTCCCTGGAAGTAGAATTAGGCATCCAGCATGGGGATGTTGGGAACCCGACCCATACCCTCTGTAAGAGTAGCAAACTCTTTTAACTAATGAGGCATCTCTCCAGCCACTCAGGAAGTGCTTGACTTAACCCAGGAAGGACAAGCTTAAGAGTTTGGAGTGGGATGGATGTAGCTAAAGATAAAATAGGAGGAAATTGTTTTCTTCTGGACACCAAAGTTAATCACAAAGATCTTTATGACTGGGTAAAAAATAATTTATTCCCTTTAAAAAATTTTGTTTAAAGAGGTTAATGATCTGACCAGGAACATAGATTCCGACTTACTGATTTGACAAACTTGGGCTTTTAAAAACAAAGTAAGTAGTTAAAACTTAAGCCCCCAGAAAGATTATGCTGATTTAGAATGAAAGATGGAAGATGTCAACATTCAGAGCTTAAAGTTGGGCTTCTTGGAAAGGCAGCATCTCAGAAGCTTGTAAGAAACTTAGCTCTTAAAAAAACAAACAAACAAAAACAACAACAAAAAATAAAACCTAAGGTTTTATTAACTGCTCTAAATATAGATCTAGTTGTGCTCTTATTTCTTTGGTTTCTAATGGTATTTTTATCAACTTAGCAAGTTAACCTTAGAAATTAAAATTTTAACACCTGGATTAATATAGAATGAAAATGTAGAAAGCCATTTCTAGTTGTACTTTTCCTATATGTACTGTTTTATATTTCTGTTGATGTTTGTTTTTATTTGTTTGTTGAGAGTTAGTTGTTGATGGCGTTAATTTATGATCTAGAAAAAGAGAGAGGCCCTTTGATCTCTAGGCTTTGATCTTGACCCGGGTTCTAGTTTAGAAGTAGTGATCAGCTTTCTTTCTCCAGTGGAAGTTTATTCAGAATGAGATTTGAATGACACTCTTTGACCCCTAGCCTGAGTTATTAACAAATTGTCAATATGTAAAATGGTTTCCAGATCTTAAGTTCACTGAAGCTATGAGGTTTACAAAGCAAGATTTTTTCTTCCCAACTTTTATACTCTTCTTAATATTAATAATATGACATTTTAAAATTTAGAAATATTCAAATATTTTAGTTGCTTCAGAAAAAAAATTACTTTCTTGGCTTGATATTTCTTCAGAAAAGAAAACCGTATAGTTTTCTTGGCTTTGGAATTCAGTGGTTTAAGGTTATTATGAGTGTTCAGATCCTGATTGTACAGTGGCTGAAGAAATATTGTGGCCATTCAGCAGAACCATTAAATAGGATACCCATGTATATCGCTACTCTGTTGTCATTATAGTAAAATAGAGGAAAAGTGAGTATAAGGATTCAGGCATTATGAAAAAAAAAGCCAACTATATCAAAGTTTATCTCTATCAAAGACAATTATGAAGTTTATCTTTTGTTAATCCTCAAGTTCAAGTTTTTATTTCACTTATTACACCTTAGTGGGTAATTTAATTATAAGGAGAAGATACTTAGTGAGGAGAGAAGCCCAGCCAGCTTTCACCTAGGAACCCAAAGTCCCATGTTTTCATAATTGGTGAGTGTTTGAGTGTTTAATGTTAGCTATCTGCAAGAAGTCACAACTTAAGAAAACAGAGATGAGCTAGTCAATAAATGAGGATAGGAAGTCATTCTCCTTGGTAACATTTGACTTTAAATGCTCAATTGTATGAGAGAATAAAACTGAAATGCATTCTGAAACTAGATTCTTTTTCCCACTGTAATATGTTTTTTAATCTTTCAGTGAATAACCCTATACCTTCTAATCTGAAATCAGAAGCAAAGAAAGCTGCCAAAATATTAAGAGAATTTACAGAAATAACTTCCAGAAATGGACCTGATAAAATCATTCCTGGTAGGTAAATTTCTAAATATGTTTGTTTCCTACATTGCTTTCTACATTCCTTAGCTTTTCTGCATAGATGTCCTATGGAAACAAGCAAGCATTTAGACCACCCTAGTCTGAGACTTTAGAAGGGCAGCACCTTACAGGCTGTCTTCTAGTGTATAGACAAAGATCAGAGCCAATCAGCAGAAAAGTCATCCCTCACTTTGCTTCCCTCCACTTAGAGGAACCAGCAGAAACAACTGCTGAGTCTCTGCTTCATTCAGCTTTTTAAACTCTGTTTTTTTGGGTTCTTTTTATTCTTTTTATTTTTTTTTTTTTTGTTTTGTTTTGTTTTTTGTTTTTGTTTTTTTTTTTTATCAGTTTTAGGGGAATTTGCAAACAGATTTTCAAAACTCACTAGCTAACCTCTCAGATAAATGTTTATGATGTAAGCTTCCTAAGCACTTCATGATGTTTCTTGCAAATAGGAAAATTGTATTTACAAGTAACAATATTTTTTATGTAAGCAAAAGGCACCAAAGGGAATTTGGCCCATAATTCTGATGAATTCCATAACTGGCTTCCTGTTCTTCTAAATGACACTGTTATTTTATGTCCAACGCTTTCATGAACAATAGCATTAACTCCTGAAATGATACATAACAAGTGTTAATGATGTGGCTTTAATTCCTGTGTTTACAATATGCTAATGTAACTCATCAAACTCAAATCTTCCCTTGCAACTAAGCAGAATAAATAGTGATGAGATTGTACCTTTAGAGCATACATGTACTATTAACTCTCATTTTATGTAATAAACTCTAAAATGTGAATACACTAGTATTTTAAATAGAATTTCAATATAAAGTGATAGTTTAAATAGACCATGGATTGAAAAGGGAAACCTTTTGAAATGGCGAATCACTTAAATGTTGTTGTCAAATACAAAATTTCATATTAATTATTAATTCAGTGCTGTATCTTTAAAATAAGTTCTGTCACAAGCTGTATTTTAGTCATTGCTGCTTTTGTTTGTTTCAGCCCATGTGATTGCAAAAGCAAAAGGACTTGCAGTTTTGTCTGTGATTAAAGCTGGATTTCTGGTGACAGCCAGGGGAGGCAGTGGGATTGTCCTGGCACGTCTTCCAGATGGAAGTAAGTTGGTACTTGTAGAGACCTTAAATCTTCTACATCTGTTGTGAATGCTCTCGTAGGAAACATGATCTGCAAATCTGCCATGTGCTTCGTCTCGAAATATGAGTAATGTGTGTCAGGAAACATAGTAGAGCTAGCCTTAGATTATTACTAGATGGGACTCAAGGTATATCTGACTATATTATATTACTTTTTTTTAGGCCTTCTATGCAACACTTTCTTGAATATACTACATGTGTTTCTCTTGTTGAATGTGAGTTCTTACTCCTCAGTTTTGGGGGAAATCCAGTTTCTGCTGTTTATGAAAGTAAACTGTAAACTTCTTTGTTTCTCTGGAAGATAGTGACATTTGAAGACCTACCCCTTCTTCCAGCAATGTTATAATGTTAAAAGCATTATATCATTTCTTTTTAGAGTAAAAGCTGTTGTTTGATTTTTTTCACAAACAAATTCAAAATGCATTTGCTAAGAATCCTAAGAACCAATGCATATAGTAGTATTTAAAACTTAGTCACATGTCAGAACCAACTAAGTGTCTTTTCAGTTAAAAGTACCTTTTCAGTTGGCCCCAGATCCCCCTGATCCTGTGTCGTATCCACATCGAGAGTACTCTTGGAGCTCTGATACACCCCCACCAACCGCAACCTCGAGCCTGCCCCCCCTACCCTGTGCCCTACTCTGCCCACTGTCCCACCACTCTGGTTGAGCACTGGGACAGAGGGTGGAGCCAAAGTCCACACAACTTTGGGGGACTTCTTGGAGCGAATCTGAACACAGTAGACCTCCCTATCCATGCTGGACCACCTGTAATTTCCAGCAGATTGGTCTTGGACCCCCACCGCCAATCCTCTGCTGGAGTCCCAGGCCCCTCCCAGAGATCTACCTATCTCTGTGGGACCACTCTGATTTCCTGCCAGCATCTTCTACTGGATCCTGATCACTGAACCCATCCCCAGGCCCCTGTCTGTGGAGAGACCTCATAGAGAGCTTGGACCACTCAGAGCTACAGATATTGAACCTCTGACCCACATAAGCCCACCGGGGAAGTGCCATAGAGAGAGGAAGACACCCCACCAACACCTACTGGAAGAAGCTATGGGAAGACAGCAATACAAGAAAACACATAACAACAGAAAGACAAGCATGACACCACCAGAATCTAGGGAATCTACACCAACTAGAACGGAACACAACAACAAAGCAGAGGAAGCAGAAGGGAACAACTTAAAAATTACCATCATAAAAATGATAGAGGCTGTCAAAGAATATGGGAAAAAATCCCTTAAAAAGTGGAGAAAAAAAACAAACAGAAAAGTGGAAGAAATGAACAAATTTCTTAAGTACAGAAAGCCAAGAAAAAACAATTAAGCAGGTGAAGGAAACGGTTCAAGACTTGAAAACTAAAATAGAGAAAATACAGGCAACACAAACCGATGGAATGCTGGAAATAGAAAAACTGGGCAAATGATAGGGAACTACAGACACAAGCATAACCAACAGAATTCAAGAGATGGGAGAGACAATCTCAGGCAAGGAAGATAAACTAGAAGAAATAGATTCATCGACCAAAGAATATCATAAATCCAACAAATCCTTAACACGAAACATCCAGGAAATGTGGGAAACCATGAAAAGGCCAAACCTAAGAATAGTAGGCATAAAGGAAGGTGAGGAAGCCCAGCTCAAAGGTGCCAAAAACATATTCAACAAAATCATCAAGGAAAATTTTCCCAATCTGAAGAAGGACATGCCCCTGAAGGTACAAGAAGCATACCGAACCCCAAATAGGCTGGAAGAAAGAAAAAAGACCCCTCAACATATAATAATGAAAACACCTAGCATACAGAATAAAGAAAGAATATTAAGAGCAGTGAAGGAAAAGGGACAGGTAACATATAAAGGCAGACCTATCAAAATTACACCTAACTTCTCCATGGAAACCCTCAAGGCCAGAAGGTCCTGGATAGATGTTCTACAAGTATTAAGAGAACACGGATGCCAGCCCAGGCTACTATACCTAGCAAAACTCTCAATCACTATAGATGGAGAAAACAAGATATTTAATGACAAAAACAATTTCCCAATACGTTTCTACAAATCCAGTCTTACAGAAAGCATTGGAAGAAAAACTCCAACACAAGGAATGTAATTACACCAACAAAAATGCAAGCAACAGATAATCTAACTACACCAGAAACCAAGGGTAAATCAGAACAAATATATTCACAATATCACTGCCAACAACAAACCTAAAACAAACAAGCATCAACAATCAATGGTCCTTACTCACCCTCAACATTAATGGTCTTAACTCACCTATGAAAAGACACAGGCTAACAGAATGAATACAAAGACAGAATCAATCCTTCTGCTGCATACAAAAAAAACACAACTAAGCTTCAAAGATAGACATTAACTCAGGGTAAAAGGTTGGGAAAAGATCTTCCAATCAAATAGATCCAAGAAGCAAGGAGGCGTGGCTATCCTAATATGTAACAAGTTAGAATTCAAACCAAAATTAATCAAAAGAGATGAAGACGGTCATTTTGTATTCATCACAAAAGGAATCCATCAACACAAAATCTCACTTCTGAACATCTATGCCCCTAATACAAAGGCACCCACATTCATAAAAGAAACGCTACTAAAACTCAAAGCTTACATAAAACCTGACACACTTATAGTGGGAGACTTCAATACACCATGCTCAACACTAGACAGGACCACCAATCAGGATCTCAACAATGAAACAAAAGAACTACCAGGAGTTATGTCTCAACTGGGTTTAACAGACATCTATAGAACATTCCATCCAAACACAAAAGAATATACCTTCTTCTCTGCTTCACATGGAACCTTCTCTAAAATAGACCACACACTAGGTAGCATAACAAACCTCAACAGATACAAGAAAATTAGGATAGTCCCCTGTATCTTATCAGACCACCATGCTTTAAAATTGGAATCCAACAACAACACAAATAGCAGAAAACCTGCAAACTCATGGAAACTGAACAATGTGCAATTGTAACACACCTGGGTCAAAGAAGAAAAAAGAAAGAAATTAAGGACTTTCTAACATTCAACGAGAATGAGGACACAATATACCAGAACTTATGGGACCCCTTGAAAACAGTGCTACAAGGGAAGTTCTTTGCACTAAGTGCCCATATGAAAAAAAAAAAAAAAAAAAAAAAAAAAAAAACAATGGATAGTCACATAAGAGAATTAACAGCACAAATGAAAGCCTTAGAACAGAGAGAAGCAAACTCAACCCCATAGGAGTAGACGCCAGGAAATAATCAATTTGAGGGCTGAAATCAACAAAATAGAAACCAGGAAAACAATACAAAAAAATCAATGCAAACAAATCAACAAGATAGAAAAACCTTTATCCAAACTAAGGAAAAAGCAGAGAGAGAATATGCAAATTAACAAAATCAGAAACAAAAAGGGGAACATAACAACGGACACAGAGGAAATCCAGACAATTTTCAGGTCATACTTTGAAAACTTTTATTCCACAAAAATTGAAAATTCAAAGGAAATGGACAAATTTCTGGATAACTGTCACTTACCAAAATTAAATCAAGAACAGACAAACAACTTAAATAGACCTATAGCACACAATGAAATAGAAACGGTCATCCAAAGCCTTCCAACCAAAAACAGCCCAGGGCCAGATGGATTCAGTGCAGAATTCTACCAGAAATTCAAGGAAGAACTAATACCAATACTCCTCAAACTGTTCCACAAAATAGAAACAGAAGGTTCATTGCCAAACTCTTTTTATGAGGCCACAATAACCTTGGTACCCAAGCCTCACAAAGACACAACTAAGAAAGTAAATTACAGACCAATATCCCTCATGAATGAACATCGATGAAAAATTACTCAATAAAATACTGGCAAACCAAATTCAAGAATACATCAGAGAAATCATCCACAATGACCAAGTAGGCTTCATCTCTGAGTTGCAGGGATGGTTTAACATGCGAAAATCTATCAACATGATCCACCATATAAACAAACTGAAAAAGAAAAACCATATGATTATCTCCCTAGATGCTGAAAAAGCCTTCAATAATATTCAATACCCTTTCATGATAAAGGTCTTGGAGAGATCAGGGATAACAGGAACATACCTAAACATAATAAGAGCAATACACAGCAAACCAACTGCCAACATAAAACTGAATGGAGAGAAGCTTAAGGTGATCCCTCTAAAATCAGGAACAAGACAAGGCTGCCCTCTCCATATCTCTTCAATATCTTACTTGAAGTTCTAGCTAAAGCTATAAGACAACAAAAGGAGATCAAGGGGATCCAAATTGGAAAGGAAGAAGTCAAACTGTCTCTATTTGTAGATGATATGATAGTTTACATAAGCGACCCAATAAACTCTACCAGGGAACTCCTACAGCTGATAAACACCTTCAGCAAACCAGCAGGATACAAGATAAACTCAAAAAAAAAAAAGTAAGTAGCCCTACTTTTTTTCAGACAACAAAGAGATAGAGAAAGAAATCAAAGAAACATCACCCTTTACAATAGCCACAAAAAGCATAAAGTATCTTGGTGTAACACTTACCAAACAAGTAAAAGACCTATATAATAAGAACCTTGTGGCTCTGAAGAAAGAAATTAAAGAAGATACCAGAAAATGGAAAGATCTCCCATGCTCTTGGATAGGTAGGATACACATAGTAAAAATGGCAATCTTGCCAAAAGCAATCTACAGATTCAATGCAATCCCCATTAAAATCCCACCACAATTCTTGACTGACCTTGAAAGGATAATAATCAACTTTATATGGAAAAACAAAAGACCCAGGATAGCCAAAACAACCCTATACAATAAAAGAACTTCAGGAGGCATCACCATTCCTGACTTTAAGCTCTACTACAGAGCTATAGTTCTGAAAGCAGCCTTGTATTGGCACACAAATAGACAGGTAGACCAATGGAATCGAATTGAAAATCCTGATATTAACCAGCACACCTATGACTCCTGATTTTCGACAAAACAGCTAAAATTATACAGTGGGGCGAGGGCAGCATTTTCAAGAAATGGTGCTGGCACAATTTGATGAGGGTGTGTCCAAGACTGCAGATAGACTCATGTCTGTCACCATGCACAAAACTCAAGTCCAAATGGATCAAAGACCTCAACATCAATCCAGCAACATTGAATCTCTTAGAAGAGAAAGTAGGAGGTATCCTTGAACAAATTGGTATAGGAGATCACTTCCTGAACATAACTTCAGGAGCACAGACACTAAGAGAAACAATTAATAAATGGGACCCCTTCAAACTTAGAAGCTTCTGTAAGGCAAAGGACACAGTGGACAAGACCAAACGGCAGCTCACAGACTGGGAAAAGATTTTCACCAATCCTATATCCGACAATGGGCTGATCTCCAAAATATACAAAGAACTCAAGAAACTAGTAAACCAAACACCAAATAACCCTATTATAAAATGTGGTACAGAACTGAAGGAAGAATTCTCAATAGAGGAAATCAAAAAGGCTGAAAGACACTTAAGAAAATGCTCCACATTCTTAGCTATCAGGGAAATGCAAATCAAACCAACTTTGAGATACCATCTTACTCCTGCCATAATGGCTAAAATTAGAAACACCAATGATAACTTATGCTGGAGAGGATATGGAGAAAGGGGAACACTCCTCCATTGCTGGTGGGAGTGCAAAATCCTACAGCCATTTTGGAGACCAGTATGGTGGTTCCTTGGGAAAATGGGAATTAGGTTACCACAGGACCCGGCAATACCCAAAGTATCCACATCCATGCAACAATGACATCTGTTCAACTATGTTCATAGCAGCACTATTTGTAATAGCAAGAACCTGGAAGCAACCTAGATGCCCCTCAATTGAAGAACGGATAATGAAGATGTGGCACATCTACACAATGGAATACTACTCTGCAGAAAAAAATAATGGTATCTTGAAATTCGCAGACAAGTGGATGGCACTTGAAGAAACCATCCTGAATGAGGTAACCCAGTCACAAAAAGAGGAACATAGTATGTACTCACTCATATATGGATTTTAGGCCTAGAGCAAAGGATCATCAGCCTATAATTCACACCACCAGAGGAACTAGGATACAAGTTGTATTCTAAGAGATTCATATAAAGTCCCTCATTGAAGCAGAAAGGGACAAGTCCCTCAGAGCACAGGGGAAGGGGGGGGGGCAGTGAATGGAGAGAGAAGTAGGAGAAAGAGAGGGGGAGGAGAGGAAAACACGTGTGACTAGGAAGATTGAGTCCGGGTAGGAATAGAAGACGAGAGAGAGAGACAGAGAGAGAGAGAGAGAGAACATAAAAGAGGGAGCCAATAAGGTTTGAAGATAAAATTGAACCCAAAGAAAGGTCTAGAGAACTACAAGACTGCCGCCAACTAACAATTCGAGCATCCATGGAAAGGCTACCGTAAATGCCCTTCCCGGACAGTGAGATTAACAACTAACTTATCTATGGAGCCCTCATCTAATACCTGTTGGAAACAGAAGCAAACACCCATACATAAACACTGAGTCAAACTAGAACCCAGATGCAAATGGAGAGGACAAGACCATGCGGCAGAAACACATACAGACAGCTGACCTGAACAAGGAGGAGCTAATGGGACCCCAGACTGATAGCCAGGAAGCCAGCATGGGACTGACTCAGGCCCCTCTGAATATGGGTCTCAGCCAGAAGGACTGGGCAGTCTAAGGGACTTCAGACAGTGGAACCAGGATGTATCCCTGGTGCACAAAAGGACCTTGCGAAAACATCCCCTATAGAGGGATAACTGTCTTAACCTAGAGACAGGAGAGAAACCCTAGTCCCTACTTCACATGACCTGTCAGATCTACATGACTCCAACTGGATGGCATTGCCCTACATATGGAATTGGGGTGGGGAGATGGGAGGGGAGGGTGGTTAGGGTGCATGTGAGAGGGCAGAGAGGGTAAAAGTGAGGGAGGGAGAGAGGGAGGGAGGCAGGGGAACTGGGATCGACATGTAAAATAATAAATTAAATAAAAAAAAAAGAAATGGAAGTTTTGTTAAGGGCATCTAAAAAATGAAATTCCTAATTTACAACAGGATGTGCTCTTTAAAACATATTTTGCATGTTTAACATCTTATACAAGAAAAATGAACAAACAAGAACATATTGTTAATCTAGCCAACATCCAAACATTTTATGCTTAATTAAAAAAAACAACATATTATTAAAAGATAGAAATGTTTGTATGCATGGCAGAATTTCTCATTGTCTCAGTCTTGTGTCATGTTCATAACATACTGGTTTTATGTTGGAAAGCAATGAAAATCAACCATTCCCAAGATCAAACTCTGGGATGGTGGTGGTTATGGTTAGGATTAGGGGTTAGTGTTAGGGGGGCAGGAACAAAAAAAATGTACCTTTTCATATAAAAGAACACATTGTTGTGTCATTAACTGTTTTAACAGAAATCATTTATACTTTCAGACAATAAGCACAGGTATTGATAGACATGTCCTTTATCCCTAGATTTAACTCATTATTTCTCCAGAGACAGTAGTATTCTCTTCCCATAGTTGTAATTCATCTTTTCATAGTTCAGGGTTCCTTTGGTACTGGGGTACATTATAACTCCAGTGCTGTATCTACCAGTCACTTTTACTTCCTTAGGCCTTTTAGTAAAATGTCTTAACATGTAATCACTTCAATTAACTTTTTTTTTTTTTTTTTTTTTTTTTTTTTTTTTTTTTTTTTTTTTTTTTTTTTCTTTTTTTTTTTCTTTTTTTTTTTTTTCAATTAACTTTTTAAATTCTCACATTTTAAAATAATAAATATCCTAAATCTTTAAAAATTGGAAAGTATGAAGCTCTTTTTTTTTTTTTAAAATATTGCCCAATGCTGTCAGCAGTGACACCAAACACAGATCTGACACCTTTCAAAAGGATCCCTGTTAGAGAAGAATTAACTAGTCTCCACAGTAAGGCTCTACAGATTGGTCTTCTATCCAATGACAGGACAACTTGTTGCTTAAAAGTGAGATTCTGACTCTGCCAACCTCTCCATTCTTGCTCTCAACCATACTACATTTTTCTATTATTTTTGGAAGCTAAAGTTTCTTTCCTCCATCTTATAGAACAGCAGCTATACTCCTGCTGAAACTAACTAAAAGGCTGCCCAAATAAGGCAAGGCAATTTCCTGATCCCAGAGAATAAGCCTGTAAGGTTTCTTAGCACAGGAGTGAAAAGCAGCTTTGTGAATTTCAGGCAATGAAACTCTTCCAAGACTGGCAAGTTAATTCTAGATGTGTCCATCAATAATACTTGTCTAGAATGTGTTCAATACCAAGTTAAACATAGTTTTTCTAGATTTGTTTCTATACAGTAAAAGTAAGTACAATAAATCCTAAAATTCCAAAAAGAATTAATTGTGCATAGTTTACAATTATAAAATATCCTTCCTTCACACAGAGAAGCCAAAACAATTTGCCATGGCAGCAAATTAGAATTATGTTACCCATCTCTGGTAAGAATTGGAACAAACTTTTGAATTTTGATCTCTTATGTATGTGATACAATCATGACATAAACCTAGGAAGATAAGTTGTACAAATATTGATTGTAGTGTGAGGTTGTCTGGCCCAGCAGGTCCTGCTGCCCTTCTCCGCCCCAATATAAACACACAGACATTATATTAGTTTTATAAAGCTGTTGGCCTTTGGCTTTGGTTTGATATTTGGCTACCTCTGTCTTGAATATTAACCCTAACCCTAACCCTGTTTTTGTCTGTTTTTATCAGAATGGTCTGCACCTTCAGCCATTGGGATAGCTGGGCTTGGTGGAGGATTTGAAATAGGAATAGAGGTAAGAGGACTGTCTATGCCTTTGTCACAATCCCTTAAGGAACTCAAACCCAGCATGACATAACTAAGGTTTCTTAGTGCTCTTACTTTGCTTCTTACACTTGTGGAAATTGCTTCCCTCTCCCTCTCCTCTCCTCTTGTCTTTCTCTCCCACTGTGTGAACTTGTCTATCATTGGCCTTATATATAAACTGTTGTATATACTCAAGACAGCAAAAAGACAAATCATTTCAGTTCTGCTCTTCTAGGTTTCATCTGCATTGTGTACAGTAGAATCCACTTTGGAACCTTGGAAGTGGTATTCCCAACAGTTGTGGCCTCCAGTGCCTTCTCCTAGTAGTTTCCTTTCTATAAATAAGCTAGAATTCCCGTCCTGATGTCTCGCCCCTCCCCTTAGCTCCACCCCCTGATTTCCACAATCCCCTTTTCCACAACTCCCAGTGCTCTTTTTACAACCTCTTAACCTTTCTATAGTCCCTGTGCTCTCTTATCATTACAACTCCATGTGAGCCTGCTTTGACCATTTGCTTTAAACACATTGAAAGATTAAGTAATAACAAGTAGCTTAAATTTCAAAAGATTCAAGACCAAAAAGGAGATGTTCAAGATTATTCTTTGGAAATTGAGGACTTTTTCCCATTTTAATGGCTTCGAAAAAGAAATATACTAAAACATAAAGATATTAAACAAACGTTTTATTAAATGCTATACTTTCAAAAGCAACATGGGTTAATGGTTGAACTATATACTACGGGGGAGGGTAACACTGGCTCAAATTCTGGCTACAGCACCTTCTTGCTGTGTGATGTTGGAGGTCACCTTTTCTTTCTGGATCCTGCTTTCTTCAGCTATGACACAGAGATGAAAATGGCCTTCTCTTGAGCTAATATTGATGATCAAATAGACTGATGTTGCATAAAAACTCTTGGAATAATATAAGCTATAATTTTTCTTTAAAATTTTTTGCCATTTATGAAGTTTTGATCACAAAGCATATATTCATGTTGGTATAAAATTAGTTGTGGAATTTATTTCATTAACATGCAGGAAAGATCAGTTTTTAGATGTGGTTTTGAATTATTATCTAGTTACTTATTTCATCTTAAAGTACTGTCTTTAGTATTTTTAATGCTTCTTTTAAAATAGTTTTGAAACAGAAGCCCTAAAATATAGACACTAAATAATTAAAAGTTCCCAAGAAATTCCATGCTGGGGAAGGGGGAGCCTGATTCATGTTTATGTGAGTAGGAAAGGCCTGGCATCAGCTTGGTTAAGAGGAGATTTAAGTCCAGGGTAAAGGGCATGGCCAATTGAACTGGGATACAGATTCCATACCAATCAGCTAGCAATTTAAGTACAAGATTCCCCTTGTACTTAAGTACAGGGATAAGTATCATATCCTCACATGTGAGTTTGGGAGATCTTAAGTAAAGGATTTGCTGTTTGCTTCTACAGAATCTTTATACAGTATATTCATACCTCCTGTGACTTGGCTTCAAGCTTCTGAGTGAGGACTGGAAGATGTTGTAAGATAATCTCTATATCTGATTTGTGTGGTGAGAATAGTTGTGCCTCCAAATTCGGTATGAAGGATATATAAACCCCTGTAATAACAAGATTGGCAGAAAAGCTGCATAGCTTCTACACAGAGCCAAGGGATGGAGGTAGGGGCGGGGGTAAGGGAGAATGGAGAGAAAAGACAACCTGGCTTCTGTGAAGTATGAAGTTTGTATGTCAACTTTTCCTGAGTAGATATAATACACATCTGCTCACTCCAGATAGGGAACCCACAGCAAAATACAGAGAGCACCAAAGTCCAGCTTGTTAAACCAATTAGTTTTATTGGGATTACCTATAGTAATATGGATGAGGGGTTATTACAGGAGCAGAAATGACTCAAAGACAGCTGCATCATCAAAGTCCACCCAAGCATCAATGCCAGCTCACAAAGCTTCAACCCTGGAGCACATTGCAACCTGTAGACAGGTCACCAGAAGGCGGGGTTTAAATGAGTTCACCAGACCCAAGATAAATGATAAATAGATGTTTATTATGGAAAGACTTACACAGATAAGGGTAAATAACCACAGCAGTCTTCCTGCTCCAGAAGATGCAGTTTCTGCTCTTCCAATGATCTCAGCAACCCAAGAGAGCATGAGCCAGCCCCTCCTCTACCTTATAATGGGTCACATCTGCACCTAAAACCATGCCCAAAGGGTGTGGCCACCACTACAAGTTCATTGACAAGACAAGCTGCCACTACACTCAACAGCTTGGTGGGTGCCTTTTCCAGGTGCCTGAGTTGGTCTAAACCTCTTCAAGACATCTCTTCTGGTTTTAGATTTTTCTAGGCAAGTGATCTCAGAGTCTTTGCAGCATTAATCCCACCAGTTGAGAATAAGACCACTACCACAATTCTTGAGCCAAGTCTGAAGCAGACCTTATTAAATACTAGCCAGGAAATTAGACACTGGCCAGGTCTACACCTGGGATTCCCAGAGAATCACCCAAATTACATTAAACAGAGGCTTATAAAGACAAACCCATAAGGCTATGTACTTCCTGCCTTTGTCTTCCTGTCTACGTACCTCCTGCCTACATATGATCACGCACTTGGGACAGCCAACCTTGTTTACCAGAGTGAAAATGCATAGCTTATTATCTTACATGAACAAGTGGTGCTTACAGGTTAGAGGTATTTTTTTTTTTGTTTGTTTTATGGATCTCTTAATCACAGTAATTAAAACTTAAAACATAACTTTAGCTCTTCTAGCAGCTTTTCTCCAAGAGTCTTCTTTGCCACCCAGCTTCCTTCCATTTTAGGTGCACTTGAAGCTTTTATTGCTTACTCTGTTGAGGAGGAGCCTAGTGCATATCCATTTCAGGGACTTCCTGAAGCTATTTTGATTTGTTTACCTTCCTGCTTAAGGAGCTTCCTGCAGTAAAGAATGTTTTAATGTTACACAACAGGAGCCAAACAAGAAGTACCCCAGGCTTCTTATCAGTGCTCAGAGGTGGGACTGATGGCTAGCTGCCAGCTCTCAAGTGGTACCCCTGAACCAGACTTGAGATTATGGAAAGACCTCCTTAGCAACCCAGTTAGGTGACACAGATCCCAAGTGGTTTCTTGACCATAGCTCAGAGAAAAGACACCTTAAAACATTTTCCTCAAATTTTATTGTTGGGACTGTCATTTTTTAGCTCCTATGTTTAAGGAATTATTTAGTTTAAAAACTTACACCACCATTTTTATATAGGACACTCAAACTTTTATCAGATTCTCCAGTGCTATCATATACGGTCTCTGTTGCTCCACTGCCCAGCCTTTTTTCAAGAAGACTTTTCTGCTTTGCATTTTCAGCTATAGAAATGTGTGCCTTTAGCTATTGACTGTTAACTAGTGGCATCACAAAAAGAACACAGGATCGTCTTACTATTATAGAGCAGATAGACAATTAGAAGAAGATTGACATTTTTTCCTAAGTGGCCTCTCAGAGCTCCTTTACTTTACTTAACTGTCCTTGGCTATTCTAAGTATAGGGTAAAAAGTCTGTACTTCAGGTGTGAAAAGCCATCAAAACTCATCAATCCTTGGCCTTGAAAACCCACCAATCCCTGACCTTGGAAACATAGCTCTGCATTCTATGAGACTGGATTTTGTAGAAGTTTATTTTGAAATCAAAGCACGTTTTGTCTTCATGGTTTTTTTGTTTTTGTTTTTTTTCTGGTTATCAGTATGGCAATTTTCAGATAGTGAAGCTGATACATTATCAGCTTCCATTTCCTATAGTCACGAGCCATAAAGGGGACTATTGAGGGTTGAATGGCACACAGGTATTTGCCATAAATACGTGCACAAGGCTGGCTTCTGGCCTTATCTATTCAAAGTAATGGTATCCCTTCCATATCTGGCTTTCTGTCTACATTGAGAGTTTACATTATACATGGTATAGCTGATTTTATGCAATATTTAGGTATGGCTATTTTATTGGTAGGGGAGCTGTTGTTTATTTGTTGAAACAGTAGTTTGCTAGCTGGAATGTGATATATAGATGGCCTTGAACACAACTGCCTATGCTAGGATTATAGATGAACACCACTACATCAGGCAGTATGGCTGTTTATAAATGAGTGGGTTTCTACATTTCAGGTATCAGATTTGGTGATAATTCTGAATTATGACAAAGCAGTAGAAGCCTTTGCAAAGGGTGGAAACCTGACACTTGGAGGGAATTTTACTGTTGCAGTTGGACCCTTAGGCAGGTGAGTAAACATACACCAAACTGTAAAGCCTTTAAAAGTCATAGTATTTTTTTCATATTAAGAAGAAATTTGAATTAAAATGAACAAATATGATTTCTACAATTGTGAGATGATTAAAGGTCTCTTAAACCAGAAATGTACAAAAATAAAGAAGAAAAAGAAAACAGTGAATGTAATCAACTCTGAGCACTGGACACACAAGAAAAAATAAGGTTTTTCACAAGCACAGGCCATGCTTTCCATTGAACTGACATAAAATTTACTATAGTTTTGATGAAGCCAAGTGTATTCAAATTCTTAACTGATAAAGGGTGTTGGTGTTCTGGAATTTTAAAAACAGGTTTTCCTCAAACTAAGTCATGAGAATGTGAAATGGTTGAATCTTACTGAGCAGTGTTTATAACCCTGTAATTTTATCTTCCTTCTCTGTTAATGAAAGACTACCCTTGGGTTAGTAAAACTAGAGAATCAGAAACGATCCCTACTTACAGAAGTTAAACAGTAAACCATCTGGAATGGTCTATGTAGGAAGAATCCATACTCTCAGCACTCTTGGGATGTGTTTCTCTGGTTGAGAGGATTAGCTCCCAAATCTCTCTCTCCAGTGCAATCTCACTAGGTCATCAGGCCTTCTACAGCTGTTCCATGTGATATGTTCTCCCACATTAAAACTCTAGCTTAGCCAAAGAAAACCATGGCCTAGGAAGACAGGCCTTGTGACCAAGTGATGAGCAGTTATCCTGGTTCTGCCATCTTTTATAGGAACCTGGAAGGAAATGTATCCCTGAGGAGCTCTGCAGCTGTCTTCACTTACTGCAAATCCCGAGGCCTCTTTGCTGGCATTTCCCTAGAAGGAAGCTGTTTAATTGAAAGGAAAGAAACTAACCGGAAGTAAGTTCATACAGAGTGACTTTGATTTATTTTTTTAAAGTATGTGATAAGAAGATAATACTTCAAAATTTGTCATAGTTTAGGAATTTATGAGTATACTTATATAATCATTTAAATGCAGCAAGATCTATATTTAAAACCTTTGTGATGAAATTAGTATTGTTTGGGACTGAGGAGATGTCACAGCAATTCAGAGCACTTGTTGCTCTTACAGAGGTCCCAGGTTTTGTTTCCAGCACCCTCATGGTGGTTCATAACTCCAGTTCCAAGGGATAAAACCCCTTCTTCTTACCTTTGAGGGCACCAGGTAAGCATGTGGAGCACATAGATATACACAGGCAAAAGACATAAAATAATAGAAGTTGAAAAGTAGTATATATTTGTGAAAATGTGACATTTTTCTTACTCATACTTCCTTTGCCAAATAAGACTACAATCATGACATCTATTAATTGTGGGTGTGGGTTTTGTTTTTGTTTTTGCTTTTTTGGTTTTTGTGTTTTTTGTTGTTGTTATTGTTGTTGTTGTTGTGTTTTTGTTTTTTTCTTTTTCTTTTTTGGCTTGCCATTATAAGCACATTCAACTAGGTGACAATATGACAGTATTTGCCTTGTAGTAAGTACAGCAAATAATCTTGTGGGTCAGCTAAAAGTGCCTCACTGTGAAAGATTTTCTATCACCACCACACTCTGGATTTGTCTTCCATACAAAATAGAGACCAATTTTGATTCAAAAGTCACTTTGATTTCTAAATATTATTGCTATCTCAGAGTTTCTTTAATCTTTTGTCTGGATCATTTGTCCTCAAGTGGGTCTTAGAAATCCAACCAGCAAATACCAGAATCATGAGCCCAAAGGAGCCAATGTCTTGGTGACCCAAGGGACCACCAAGTAGGACAGGCATTCTACTGAAGGAATGAATGTTCACATCAATTTTCCCAAGAGAATAATATCATGCATTTATCTTGCATATAAAACAGAACTAGTCTGAATGAGGGAAATTAAAGTTTGCAAAAATCTTCATCTTATAGAAGCATGAGTGTTGTGTCTGCTCATTTATGGTTTCATGAATTTGAGAATGCTTTTAGAAACTCTTAACTCTAGGCGTTTCGCGCAGTCTTCTCCCTAAAGCTCAGCTAAATCTTAGGTAAGCTACAACAATAATCCCTTAAAGAACTGCAAGTCTTTCAAACTTGAAAAGTAAATTTTTAATTTTTATAAAAAACAAACATTTTAAAGAAATCACAAAGCCATGTATAGCAATTATTTTAGAGAAAAGCACAAAGATAAAGCCTACAAAAATTATGTATACTTTATATGTTTATGTACTTCTATATAAAATGTCTGTCTATTGACATGCTTTTGGTGTGAAGAAAAGTACATATCAATATTTATGCTCACTGATTTAGAAAATGAGCTTGGGTTGAATCAAAGAATTAGACATGGGGTAAGTCTTGTGGTATCTGTTATATGTCATAAGGGTGATTACACATATACATGAATGTGCTGTATTTACCTCCAAAGCACATCTTTGTATTTTACAGAAATGTTCTTAATTTTGTGTTTACTAGATTTTACTGTCAGGACATTCGTGCTTATGACATTTTATTTGGAGATGTTCCACAGCCTGCTCAAGCAGAAGATCTTTATGAAATTCTCAATTCCTTTACTGAAAAGTATCAAAATGAAGGACAACGCAATAATTTGAGAAGAATAGCACGGGAGCAGAGGAAGGTACTATGGAAAGTCTTCCTGTTTTTCTCAACCAATATAAGGTGTTTGTCTTAGGACATACTATCTCTAATATCAAGTTCCAATGATATACTGAGCTTCCTTTATGATTCATTTATATAAAGTCTTTAAAAATGTCCTAAAGTTTTGACCTTGCACATATTTTAAGAATAGTTTGTCTTCTGTAGTTACATATCTCTTAAGGTGAAATCTGGTAGTATTAGAGAACCAACACTAGTTGTGCCTATCTTCCTTTGGTCTCCACTTAATCGATGTTGTGCAGAGTGAAATTGATATACAGAGTTTAAACCTTTCTCTGCTGAATGTTTCCTGTGACCACATCACTGGACTTGCAGACCCCTGCAGACCACACACAGATGTCAGAGGAAGAGGAGGCTTAAGTGCAAGTGTGTACTAGATCAACCCATAACAAAGTCTCACATCCAGTCTTACACTATATATGTGAGTTTCTGAGAGCCTAAATAATACATGCAGAGGATGAAACCTGCTCAAACAGGTTAGAGACAAAATCAGACTATTCTCATAATAAAAGCAGGTATTTAAATTTTGTGTATTTATTCTTGTGCCTCCCAGGCTAAAGAATTACCTCCAAAACCATCATCAAGACCACAGCAATCTCCAGCACCTGTCCAACAGAATGCTGGCTTCCACAGTAAGTGTTTCTACTGCAGTATAAATGTAACAGTATTTAAATAATCATTAAATATTATTATATTTCAATACCAAATGAAAGAACTATAAGCATTTAAGAGAAAAGTTAAATGTTCAGCTTTTTCTAAGCCATAACATAGACTTTCTTATGAATTTCCACTGTTGTGATTTGTGAAGACTTCTCTCATTCATAAAATATTTTCTTAAATCCACAATGAGATTTACATTCAAAATGTTTATCATGTACACCTTGAGAAATAACTCAGCAATTAGTAACACTTGATGCTCTTCCAGAAAGCCCCAACTCCATCCCTAGCACCCACATGGCAGTTCAAAAATGTCTGTAACTCTAGTCCCATGGGATTAGACACCTTCAAGTCTTTATAGACCTGTGCATGTGTAGTTCACATACACACAGGCAGAATATTCATAGAAATAAAATAAAAAAGAATCTTTAGAATTGTAATTTGTCTGTTGTATATTCCTAGGAGTACAGGTTCTCCATGAAGTGTTTTTAACCTAAGTTCCATCTGCTTATTTGAAAATTTCATGATTTCCCTTTTTTCTGAACATATACCAAAGATTAGTATAGCTGGGTCATATGGTAGATCTACTTTTAACTTTTGGGAAGTCTCCACACTGATTTCCATAGTGGCTATATCAGTTTACAATTCTACCAACAGTGAACAAGGTTTCCCCTTTCCATGTCTTCTCTACCATTGGTTGTCAGTTATTTTCTTGATCTTGGCCATTCTGCCTTATATAAGATTAAATATAAAACTAGTTTTAACTTGCATTTTTCTATTTATTAAAAATGTTGAGGCCCAGGCAATGTTGTCCCACATCTTTAATCCCAGCATTTGGGAGGCAGAGGCAGGCAAATCTCAATGAGTTCAAGGCCAGCCTGGTCTACAAAGTGAGTTTCAGGACAACTAGGACTGTTACAGAGAGAAACCTTGTCTCAAAATACAAAAAAAAAAAAAAAAAAAAAAAAAAAAAGTTGAGTAAACAGCAGGAAATAATAGAAGTGAGGGCTGAAATCAATAAAGTAGAAACAAAGGAAACAATACAAAGAATCAACAAAACAAAGAGTTGGTTCTTTTCAACAAGATAGACAAGCCTTTATCCAAACTAACCAAAAGGCTGAGAAAATATGTAAGTTAACAAAATGCTGTCATTTTTTTTATGTTTTCCTTCTAACTTATTTTAACACTACTGTAACATGACAAGTAAAAGACCCAGAGACTGATATTGAGGTTCAAGTTTCAGGCTGAAGATCAGAGAAGCAAAGCAGACAAGCCAGTAGATCTTAACTCTACCCCACTGAAATGGCAATCATGTCTCCACAAATCCTCAGAGGCAAAAGGCTCTGAATTCCTGTATCCTCCTCCTTTTATTCCTTTCTCCCTTCCCCCCCCCCCCCCAGTCATATTACTCCTGTCTCCACCTCCCTAGTGCTGGGATCAAAGGTGTGAGCTCTGTTATTCTTCACTCTTGTGTAGGACAGGATAGCCTTGAACTCAGAGAGATCCATCTGCCTGTCTTCTGAGTCCTGGGACTAAAGGTGTATGCCTCCACTGTCTAGTTTCTGTAGCTAACTAGTGTGACTAGCATTGCACACTGATCTCCAGTGTCTTTATTAAATCATAAACAATATGTCACCATACTCTATCTTTATTCTTTCTCTTACAGCTCATATACCCCAGCACAATCTTTCAGGCAATATAAAAATTACAATGTGGTTACATTCTGTTTTTTCAAGTGAATGATTATAATGCATGCAAGTAAAAGGCAGCATGTTTTCCATATTCCTTACATGATTAAACATTTTATGTATCACAGGTGAAAAAACAAATTATCCCAAGAACCCACATTCATTCATACACAAGCAACTTATTATAAACTAACAGAGCATAAGCAAGCAAGATATTCTTTTACTGTCAGACTGTGTTTTGTGGTTACAAAGAAATAACCAACCACTTTATTACTTATCTTGCAAGGTAGCCTTATAAGGAATCTTAAAGAAATCACAAATCTAAACTTTTATATATGAAAAAGAACCAGTCAGCTCTACTTCAGTTCTTTAGGGCACACACCACTCATCAATAGTATTTAATATCATGAGATGGAGGGTAAAAATGAGTATAAGTAACTAATCATTGCCTTTAATCACCAACTAACCCTTGCAAGGAAAGTACATCAGCTACTAATAATTGGCTACTTTGTATTTGTTCCCTAACCTTAACAAGTTCCTCACTCAATGATGTGTCTTTCTAAAACTTTAGATTGTCTTCTTGGGTTTTTCACCTCAAAACTATTTGACAAAAACATCTAGTCTAACTTTTTATTTTGAAAGCCTTGTTTCAGCTATGATACACCCAGAAACCTGTGAACACATTTCCCAACATTAAGGTTAAAAGAATTTAAATCTTCCCTTATTTTTATTTTAACAGGTAGTGGAAATGAATATAAGCTATATCCTGAACTTTCTAGCTACCATGAGAAAACTGGTAAGTAAAACTCTATTGCTTAAAAATGGTTTATAACCGCCCTACAATCACAAAATTTCCAGTTAATTTGATAGGTTATGAAAATCTCTAGGAAAGTGTTCGAGACTCTTAATTGTTGTAAATATTCTTTACAATTAAGAATGATAAATAAAATGATATGCTTTTGTTCTCTGAACAAAATTGGCTTTAAGAGGCCAATGGAGACTCTGCAGTAGCAAGCATTGCCATTGGCAGCCCATGGTTTTCTAGTAAAAATATTTCTCAACTTGTTTTACTTAAATACTCCTTAGAAATTTTTCTTGAAAGAATTAAGCACTTACCAAAAAAATGTGAATTGAACACACAGTGAGGCCAAAGATTAAACAGCCATTAATTTAATGTCCTAAACTTTTGCCACTAAAGTCATCAAATTGTGTGTTACTGAGTATATAAACTATTGAGGAATTGGCTATTTTGTGTAAGTATAAGTAACATTGTCAAAAAAGCAGGTAACCAAATTTTTAAATAGTATCAACTACATAAAAATATTTTAAATGTCTTTGCTGATGAACCTGGGGTTTTAGCCTTCCCTGGCTCAGCTGGGCCCTGCTGCCCTGGGTTTTCATGTTCCCTGCTACGAACCCCTGGCACTGGTTCTGTTGTAAGTCAGTGTACACAAGCAAAACATTCATGGAGGTGTAAAGACAACGTGTAGTAGTCAGTTCTCTCCTTCTACCATAGGGATCCTGGGGATCTGTCTCAGTCTTTCATCCTGAAAGGGTGAAAAGAAAAAATTCTAAGTTTAATTATGTGAGTATTGCAGAGATTATGCAGTGTGGGTTCTGACACCTTTAGCAAACCAAAACCTAAACCCTAACTGATCAGTTTCTATCTTTACAATCCATACTTAAACTTCTTTCCTAAAGTATTTACAGTCCGATTGCATTTTCTTATTTTAGGCAGTTTGAATCAGCCAATAGAAGTGACAGCACTGTACTCTTTTGAAGGACAACAACCAGGGGATTTGAATTTTCAAGTCGGAGACAGAATCACAGTTATATCAAAGACTGACTCACATTTTGATTGGTGGGAAGGAAAACTTCGAGGTCAAACTGGAATTTTTCCAGCCAACTATGTAACTATGAATTAAAGTTCATGCTAGTTTGTTATTTAATAATTTCTCAAAAATATCTCTACACAGACAGGATTAATTTATTTACACAACGCTGTTTGAACACATTGTTGCTCTGTAAATGTTTTATCCAGTTGTAAAAGATTTTTCTCTGCATATGAATAAATGGTTAAATTAACATGTCAGTAAACGCTGTGTAGCAACTTAATCATATCTGCAGATGTAATCAACAATTTTTATGATCATGTTTCTTTTGTGCTCATCAGACCCCACTTACCCTTGAGTAACCTGACTGCTCACTACCATGGTTTCAGTATAAACAAAGCATGGCTGGAGAGCACTGCTCACTTTTATGTGAATGTAGATCAACCTCTGAACATCTTGGTAGGGGAGAATTTTGTTTTTTTTTCATTTAACAAGGTTTGGGTGATTAAATGAGCTTGTGAACTTAAGAACAAGGTTCCCATGAATTAGAGGGGCCTCCAAGAAAATCTGTATTTGTCTCCTACCCTGCCATGTTTTGCTATCCATTCTCTCCCAAGACAAACCATAGAAACTAGAATTTCTATTTCCCAAGGAATACCTTAGAAACTAGAACCTCTTTTTTCTCAAAGCAAATCTTCATGCCTAGAAATAATAATCTTCCCCTATTCTTCCACCTTTCCATCTTGGAACTAACTATAAAGAGATTCTCTGAAGTGCTTTGCCTGATAACTCATAAGACCCATACTAGGCACAGGCAAGGAATATCAGGCAATGGCCTTTGCCAACTGCAGTTGTGCACAGCTGTCCTTTCGTCATGGAATCTAAGTATAAATCAGTCTGAAGGCTCCCATAAAAGATGTCCTATAAAATGATAATCAAATATATTTCTTCCACTTCTACTCTTTTAACTTGTCTTTTGAGGACAAGTATCATCACAACCTGGTTATGAAATGAGCTCAGTCATGGGCTTAGTGGTAAACACACCAAAGTGTATCTGTTAAATCTGGAAATTAATCACTTGCAATGATATTCTATATCACTAAAATAAAAGATCAGAGTGAAACAGTGTAAAAATGTCATTTAATTAAGTATATATTTGAAAAAAAAAACATACATTCAAAGTGATAACAGTACTGTATCTGCCCAGTATGTACAGGAGGCATCAGCTATAAATGTGCATTCGTTAATAAGAAAAGTTCTTAAAACTTAGAAATCTGTTTGACAAGCCCTAGTGAATAAATCTAGATCTATTTTTTACTGCTGTGATCCTGGAGGAGGGATGTAGGGAGGCATAGTCACTGTTCTGGGAGCACCAACCTCACTAGCTACATAGATAGCTAAGGTTAGTGGGCAGTGTAGCACCCATTGACTACTACTGAGGGCATACATGCTGGCAAAGGCCAGCACACCAGAGAATCACAGCAGCTGATTGTAGCTCTTGCAGCCCACAGGCCATGAATCTACCATACTAAGGAAATATGTAAGTCCTTTATTTAGGTCTGCAGGCCCTAGGCTGTTGCTGTTTCAAAGGATGTTAAAACTCCACAGAAATGTTGATAACCTTCTCCTCTAAGATGCTGCCTCTTCTCCCTGAAGACCCAGGTGGAAGCAGAGGCCAGGATCAGGACTCAGGGCTGAACTCTTATAAGTCACCGTATGTCATCAATTATATATCCTACAGGCATACCTCTTAATCTATGCAGTGCCACCCCTACCATGGAAACCTATCTAAATAATTGCTTTTCAGTGCAGAGCACAAACATCTACTGGTGGTCTCGTGTAAAAGTGTCAGGCAGGACAGCTGTCACAGAACTGAAGCCTGGTCTACAAGATTGGGATTCTGGAAGCTTTGGGTTTCTATGACCCAAGAGCCTAGTAGTCTGGAAAATGTCTTAGATTTTTCTTTAGAAGAGGTCATATCTTTAGCTGTAATGCTCAAAAGGGCATACAGAAAGTAGAATTGTTAGTAGAATAAGAACAAGATAAAAGGTGAATTGAAGCCTATGTTCTGATTAGTTATGTTTTGTAGTTTGTTTTGCTTTGGTTTTTGACCACTTGACACAAGCTAAAAACATTTGGAAAGAGGAAACCTCAACTGAGAAAACACCCTCACCAGATTGACCTGTAGGCAGGACTCTGGAGTTATTTTCTTGGTTAATGATTGATGTTGGAGGGCCCAACCTACCACTGGGTGTTGCCACTGGACAGCTGGTCTTAGATGGAATAAGAAAGTAGGCTGAGTCAGCAATGGGGAGCAAGTCACGTAAGTAGCATTCTTCCATGATCTCTGCTTCAGTTCCTGTTTTGAGTTCCTGTCCCTACTTCCCTTCATAATATAAGCTGTAAACTAAAATAAACCCTTTCCTCCCCCAAATTACTTTCAGCCATGGTGTCTTATTATAGCAGAATAAAAGAAACTAAGAAACCCTATGTGGTGGTTTAAAAGAAACTGCCCCCCCATAGGGAGTGGCACTGTTAGGAGGCATAGCCTTGTTGAAGTAGGTGTGGCATTGTTGAAGCAAATGTCAAGACAGGTTTTGAGGTCTCATTTGCTCAAGCTTCCCTCTGACACTGAGACTACTTCCTGTAGCCTGCAAGCCTCAATGTAGGGCACTCAGCTATTTCTCCAACACGATGTCTGCCTGTATGTCACCATGTCACAACATAATAATAATGGATTAAACCTCTGAAAATGTGAGCCACCCTAATTAAATATTTTTCATTTTTTAAGTATTGGCATGGTCATGATATCTCTTCACATTAAAAAAAAAAAAAAACAACTAAGACACCCTGGCTTGCAGGGGAAAGATAAGAGGAAGCCTGCTGTGTTGCTCACAGGCTCGTTTTACAGGGAGTCTTCAGGAAGTGCTGTCTATTTTTTATCTTGTTGTCTTTGTACCACAAGGTTATTACTTGCAACCTTCCCAGGCATAGTCTTGATAGGAAATCCTTCTAAAATGATGAAAATTCTACTATATGTCAAGAGTTCTCCTGATAGCAAACGCTTTATCCTCTTCTCCATCCTAGCTCCAGATTTCCTTTCTTCCTTACTTCCATATACACTTAATTTATTTTCATTTTCTTCATGTTTCTAATTGAGTTGAATGTGTGTAATTTAAATTGAAATAACTTGCAAAGGGATTATGATAACAACGTTATAAACCATAAACAAGAAAAGCATGTTTAGAAACCCACAGAGACAGCTGGACCGAACAAGGAGGAGCTAATGGACCCCCAGACTGATAGCTGGGAAACCAACATTGGACCAACTCAGACTCCCTGAACATGGGTCTCAGTTAGAAGGCCTGGGTAGTCTAAGGGACCTCTGACAGTGGAACCGGGATGTATCCCTAGTACACAAAAGGACTTTGGGAGCACGTTCCCCATGGAGGGATACTCCCTTAACCTAGAGACAGGAGGGAGGGCCTAGGCCCCACTCCAAATAACTTGACAGATTTAGATGACCCCTCCAGGAAGGCATCACCCTACATGTGAAATAGGGGAAGGGGTGGGATGGGGGGAGGGGGGAGGGGAGAGAGGGACAGAGAGGGAACTGGGATCGATATGTAAAATAAGATAAATAAATAAATAAAAAGCATGTTTAAAATTGGTCATTTCTAAATGTGACATTTATGAGTGAATGCTGTGATACTTAGGATTAAAACTTGGTGTGTCCCTTCATTTCATGTCAGACTTAGGTCTGAAGAAATTATTTTGTACACTAAATAGATGATAAATATGAAAAATATTTAAAGACAGAAAGTGAAATGACCATGTCAGATGAGAAAATAATGAAAATATCCTATTGTAACTTTTACTGCACATTGACAAATAAATAATAGAAGACATGGTATCCCGCTCCTAGTGACACTCCTCCTACTTACCCCATCAAGGTCACACCTCCTAATCCTTTTCAAACTGTTCCACTAGCTGAGGACCTAGCATTCAAACATATGAGCCTATAGAGAACATTCTAATTCAAACTCCCAGAGTCCTTATGCTAGCCTGACAGACTATCAGAGCAATGATGTCAACAATTTGGCATTGATAAGCAGTCAATAGACTAGCATCCTATCAGAGCCACACTGACCAGCAATACCCTGGTAAGTTTCTAACCAGTATTCTTCCATGGTACCCAATAGTACCTTCCTCTGACCAATGAATGCTCTTCTAAGATTTATGACCATTTCCTTTCAAAGGTATTGACCAGTGCTCTCCAAAGCTAACCATAATGTCCTCCAAGGCCGCCAAGTATATCTTCCCAAGTTTCCACGCCAGTATCTTTCCCAGGATATGACTCAAACTTCTTGAAGGCCTCCACTGGTACCCTCTCAAAATACTCAGCTAGTACTATTCAGAGGTATCCAACCTGAGTTCTTGTACTTGGCATCTTGCAATACCAGGTTAAACTTTGGTTGACTAGGCCACTGCCACTGTGGTATTTGGCCCTTCTAAACTTTTATATGTTTATTTATAGTATTATATAACAATGTTTCAAATACCACAGTGTGAAAACAGGCTGTCTTCAACATTAATTCTATTGGGAACAATAAGCTCAACAGAATAGAAAGGGCAAGGAGGGTAAGAGACTATAAGGAGATATGTTTGGCTACATTCTTGGAGGGGTCTTTGCAATTGAAACTTGTGTGTTTCAATATTGAATGTTTCTCCCTGGAAATCTCTCCACACTTTGATACAAACTGTAATAAAAAGAAATCCAGGTCCCCCATCTCCAGGCCTTGGGTAGAGGTGAGTCTGGGACCAATTCGGGTGGACTCTCCCCTACACCCTTCCCCTGGAACTCCCTGGGTTGGTCCCAGATCTCACTGTTCCTGTGTCCTATCCCCATCAAGAGCACTCTTGGAGCTCCCCCACCCACTCCCACCAAGAGCCTGCCCTCCCCCTACCCTGTCCCCTACCATGCCTACTGTTCCACCTCTATGGTTGAGTGCTGAGACAGAAGGCAGAGCCAACAATCCAGCCCACCTTCGGGGAACTTCCTGGAGCTACTCCTAGCACACTAACCTGCCTATCCACGCAGGACCACCTGTAATTTCCATCTGCCTGGTCTCGGACCCCCACGCCCAGTCCTCTACTGGAGTCCCAGACCCCTCCCAGAGATCCACCTATCTCTGCGGGACCACTTTGAATTCCTGCCAGCAGAATCCTTGACCCCCATTGCAGGGCCTCT